ACAATATAATCCTTAAATAAGAAAATATAGGAGGTATGTTCCTGAGGGAAGATGCTTCAAGCTTTGATAGACTTGCGTTGGCATGTTTATGACGGCTTGCTCGTGCAAGCTTGTCTTACCGGCATGTTGGCCTCACGCGGGTATGCAGTTACGTGCTGCCTGCGTCGTCTTCCTTCCATGTTTGTGGTTTCTCGGCATGTTTAGTGCGTGTACCAAATTACATAGTCTTATCCCCGTACAACAACAACAACAACAACAATAGTTAAGAAATACATATGTATATAATATGTATATATACATATATATTCTTGGGATATAGTTCCCCACCTGCCAGGTGAGGGTTGTTAGATTTTATGTTAGTTGCCTCCTGCGTCCTGCGTCCTGCGTCCTGCGTCCTGCGTCCTGCGTCCTGCGTCCTGCGCCCGCCTGCCGCCTCCTGCCGCCTCCTGCCTCGTCCTCATCCTCCTTGTCGTCCTCGTCGTCCTCGTCGTCCTCGTCCAACTGCGACCCGCGATCCACAGTGTTCTCTGCCGGACCTCAACCACGACCATCCCCGCCCAGTGTTCCCTGCCGGACCTCAACCACGACCATCCACGCCCAGTGTTCCCTGCCGGACCTCAACCACGACCATCCACGCCCAGTGTTCCCTGCCGGACCTCAACCGCGAGTATCCACGCCAAGTGTTCCCTGCCGGACCTCATGTAGGAAGATAAAATGTCAGATAGAGTGCCAGAAGATTTGCCAGGTAGAATGCCAGAAAATATGCCAGAAGATATGCCAGATAGATATGCCAGAAGATATGCCAGATAGAATGCCAGAAGATATGTCAGATAGAATGCCAGATAGAATGCCAGAAGATATGTCAGAATATATGCCAGAAGATATGCCAGATAGAATGCCAGATAGAATGCCAGAAGATATTTCAGATAGAATGCCAGAAGATATGCCAGAAGATTTGCCAGATAGAATGCCAGAAGATATGCCAGATAGAATGCCAAATAGAATGTCAGAAGATATGTCAGATAGAATGCCAGAAGATGTGCCAGTAAGAACATGTATAAATGTCATGGTGGGGATCACACGAAGTAAAGTATTTTTTTTGTAGACATAACGTGATGAACTCACCCCACCCCACCGGTGACTGATCATGAAAGAGTTGTGCCTGTTTCTGCTCAACAGCAAGAAAGATGATGAGGTTGCTGTGCCTGTGTGTGCACAGGAACATGAAATGACTTTTCAGTGCAAGTGATGAGAATGAAATTGCGCAAAATGATACAAAACGCACGTACGGAAAACGGCGCGACGGGATGTTTGAGGACCCTGGCCTGTTTTAGCCGTCTTCCTGCCATGTCAAGGCATGTGTTATGGCATGTTTACTCAGGACCTTGACTTGCGTTGGCATGTTTATGATGGCATGTTTATGCAGTTACGTGCTGCCTGTGTCACACATGTTGCCTTCGAATATGAAGTGCCAAATGACATAGTCTTATCCTAACTATATAGTTCACCACGATAAGCACCTGTCTTCTCACAGGCCTTGCATGCGGGTATGCAGTTCGGTGCTGCCTGTGAAGCCCAGCGTCATTTAAGTGATTAATTACCGTAGTCTGATCCCTGTAGTTCACCACTACAACCAACTGAGTTTTCACAGATCTTGGATGCGGGTTTGCAGTTATGTGCTGCCTGTGTCAAACCCAGCGGGGTTCCAGTAATAAATTCCATAGTCCGATCCCTGTGGTTCACCACTACAACCACGTGCCCTCTCACAAGACACGCACGCGGGTATGCAGTTATGTGCTGCCTGTGTCGCACATGTTATCTTTGAGGATGTGACGCAGACGCCACGGTTGCACAAGCCAAGCGTAGTTTAAGTAATAAATTCCCATAGTCCGATCCCTGTAATTCACCACTATAACCACTTGACTTTGCACAGGCATTGGATGGCCATGTGTTGTGCATGACGTGCTGGTCGCTGATGGGTCAAGGACAGCATCAGCGATTGGGATCGACTCTCGCTTGACTGCCAAGGGCTGGGTGTGCGTTGTTATGAACCGCATCCGAGTTTGAATTGCTGTCCTTCAGTAGCTTCGCCTTTCATTTAGTCTTGCGAACCGCAGAATGCCTCTGTCACTTGCTTTTGGTTTATGTGTGCGTTGTTACGAACCGCACAAACAACCATGATCGTATTGCATACATGTGAAAAAACAAAGCTGTCGTGGGAGCGAGTCAATGCAAGGTCTCACCGAGATCCTCTCAATGCCTTGTGCAGCATGGGTTGGAGTTTTGTGGTTTGTTGAATGTATGACTTTCTGGACCATTTTTTTTTCAGACATCAGACACAAAGCTCTATGATTTTCTCCATTTTGGCGCTAGTTTTTTTTGTTGCACGTAAGTTTAGAGCAGTTGGACGTGTGGGGCGTGAAGTGTGGAGTGTGAAGTTTAAGTGTGGAGTGCGAAGAGCGCAGTGTGAAGTGTGAAGTGTGAAGTGTGAGGTTTGGAGTGTGAAGGAAGCAGTGAGAAGTGTGAAGTGTGGACTGTGAAGTGTGAAGTGTGAGTGATGTGTGGAGTGTGAAGTGCGAAGTGAGAAGTGTGAAGTGTGAAGTTTGGAGTGTGAAGTTTGGAGTGGGAAGGAAGCAGTGAGAAGTGAGAAGTGTGAAGTGTCGACTGTGAAGTGTGGAGTGTGAAGTGCGAAGTGAGAAGTGTGAAGTTAGGAGTGTGAAGGAAGCAGTGAGAAGTGAGAAGTGAGAAGTGTGAAGTGAGAAGTGTGAAGTGTGGACTGTGAAGTGTGGAGTGTGAAGTGCAAAGTGAGAAGTGTGAAGTGTGAAGTGTGAAGTTTGGAGTGTGAAGGAAGCAGTGAGAAGTGAGAAGTGTGAAATGTGGAGTGTGAAGTGTGAAGTGTGAAGTGCGAAGTGAGAAGTGAGAAGTCTGGACTGTGAAGTGTGAAGTGTGAAGTGTGGACTGTGAAGTGTGAAGTGTGAAGTGTGGACTGTGAAGTGTGAAGTGTGCAGTGTGAAGTGTGAAGTGTGAGGTTTGGAGTGTGAAGGAAGCAGTGAGAAGTGAGAAGTGTGGAGTGTGAAGTGTGGAGTGTGAAGTTTGAAGTTTGGAGTGCGAAGAGTGCAGTGTGCAGTGTGAGGTGTGGAGTGTCGAGGGAAGGACACGGTCGGGACAGGGTGTCTTTGAACTATAGGTCATTTATGTTTGGGAAACTTCCGCCGCCGGCTTGCCCGGGTCTATGTTAGATTATCTATTATCCCATATACTACTATTATTAATGGCATTATGGTAGTATAGATTGTAATGGTTATTACCCCTATATCATGGTATTTTATACTCTATACTATTATTATCAATTATCCCTATTGCAATTGTGATCACTATTCTTGATGGTGAAATCCCCTTTGTTGGTTGTTTATACCTCCATCGATCCAAAGGTCATCGAGTCCCTTCACTTAGATCATCCGGCGGTGAGACAGGGGCGCGCGGGCGACTGCAGCACCGACAAACCACGCATCACTTCGTGAACCGCGAAGTAAAGTCCCTGTGGAGTTTAGAACGACAATCCTTGGGATAATACATATGCAAACACACACTTATATATATATACATATATACATACACATAATACATATGTATACATATATATATATATGTATACATATATATGTATATGTATATATATGTATGTATATATATATATATGTATATGTATATATATGTATATATGTATATATATATATATGTATATACATATGTATATATATATGTATATATATATATACGTATATATATATATTACACATAATTATGTATATACTTTAGAATTATATATGTACTATACGATATAGAACGTTCATATTACCAATAAAACGGAGATAATAGCCGACAGCTGGTTTCCCCATGGCATACAAATGGCCTCGGTCCGCTAAATTATCACAACCCAGTGGGAATGTTTCCAAAACTATGGGCTTCAATACTAGAATGATTCCTAAAATGGTTGAAAATTTGGATTTGGGAAACCTCCACACGAAAAATGGAGAATATGATCGATTACGTGGTTGCAATGTAAGCCTTTGTCTTAGGAAAACCCCCAAAATGGCCCCTCTTTTGAGGCAACCCCCATATACACTGGTCAGTCAAACCCTGGGTCCTGTGTTCACATCAGCATAGCGGCTTAGCGTGTGTGTTTCCTCTCATGATCGGGCAGTGTCACATCGAAAATCATCGTATTTGACCGTCCCCGTCCCTGATTCAAAGGCTTGAGTAGCCCATTTTGGGGCTGGTTTTTTCTGGTAGATACCATAGGTTGGTCCTCAAAGATGGCAACAAAGATGGGGACACGAGGACACGAGGCAGGCACTAAGCTGCAGTCGCAGCTAAGATGCAGTCGGAGAGCCATGTTTCTCTCTCCATCTTTTTTGGAAGTCACAAAAATGGGCTCTTGAAGAGGATATTCTGCGGGTGGATATGGATAATCTAAAGCCGTATATATACATCTCCACATGGTTACATATGTAGATGGGTACATAGATATCTATATACACAGTGTATGTATATATATATATACATGATGGACCTTTTCCAACTACAATTGGATTCATTTGGTATTTTTTGATGTATACATTACATATCAGTACATAATCCCCAAAAATATACAAAAATTGTGCAGGTCCCAGGGGTTCAGAGTTTCACTCGGCAAATCCGAATATATCCGGCGTGGACATGGATTCCCGGTGATGATTCTTGACGGCTCTGATATGTGGTACCATCTGGTTATGACATTGCCGGTTTGCCATGGAAAATCCACCATTTAATAGGTAAACCATCTATTTCTATGGGCCATCTATACCATGGCTATGTTAAATAACCAGAGGGTAATAGCTATACTGTAGTAGTCCCTATTCACCACCGAATGTTGAGTCCGCTTCATGGATTTTGGGCAAGCAGTATCGTCGGTTGCTCATCCATGGTTATTGGTTCATACATGTCTCATGTTGATACCAAGATTTCGATGGGACCTCCAAACCTTAGCCCAGATGTTTCTTCTTCTGCTCAGACAGAACTGCCAGCATTTCTTTCGGTTTCCTCGGCGACAAACCGCAAGGTGGATGCCTGTCCCCCAAGAATCAGTGGAATACGATAGAAGAACCAAACTTCAGACATAGCTTATCATATGATATGTATATATATATACATATGATGTTAGACTTTGCAAAAAATAATATCAAAAAGAGATACAATCTGGTTATGACATTGCCGGTTTGCCATGGAAAATCCACCATTTTTCAGAACGGTAAACCATCTATTTCTATGGGCCATCTATACCACGTACGGCGGCATCCCAGTGATTTCTTCAGAATGGTTTTTGACCCATCGATAACCATCTTGTATAGTGAGTTTTCCCATTCAAAAATGTGATGTTCCAATATGTTCATATATTTTGCATAGTTATGTGAGTTTACCAGAGGGTAACCATCTTGAAAAATGATGGAGTGAAAGTCAATGGGAAGGATGACATCCCATATGAAGTGGAAAATATAAAATTCCATGGTTTGAAACCACCAAGCAGTATAAATACGACAAAAATCAGACAAATCCCAATTCTTTGTGGCTTACAACACCTCACAATCCCCGTACCAAGAAGGAAGCACTTCCAAATATCAGCCGGGGCCAATACCTTTAATACCATCAATTAATTGAGGCGTTAAAAAAGGTTTCGCATCTCATGAAGTGCTACTTAGTTGATAGGTTTCCCATGGTTTTCCCACTGTGGGTTGGGTTCTTAAACCTAAATAACCCACTTATGTAGTATGATTCCATAGTTCATAACCAATCAACCAAGGTATCTTTAATCGCTCAATTGGGGTGTTGAACTTCTGCCAGCTGTATCAATTCGTCGCATTTTGTTCATGGCCCATCCAAGTGGAATCTAACGCCAGATTTCATGTGCAAAATCATTAAAGTTCTGGTGCTTACCCGGCCTGGTAAACATACAAAAAGCTATTGAAAATGACCATAGAAATAGTGGATTTTCCCATTAAAAATGGTGATTTTCCAGTTCGATGTAAACGTTTACCAGAGGGTATAGTCTGCTAAAGTGCCAATGATATAGAATTATGGACTAAGATGTATCACCATCGCAATCCCATTCAATGAGAAGTTTTCAAAACCCTACGAAAGGATTCCCATAATAATGGATGATCATAGCCCCCTGTACCCGGCAGTATAGTCACATATGCCAATCAACCGGGATTTGAAACGCTGCCGAAATATTGCTGTTTCTCAAAATCCCCCTTGACGAAATCCCTGTTTCTAATCGCCCAGCGATCCCAAACAGAACACCAAAATTAAAATCGTTGAAGGCGAATTTCCCGCTTCTCTCAGTAAAATGCTAGACAACAGCAATCCAATCCCCCCTTATCAAACAACCCCATTCTATGGTCCCAAATTTGTGGCTACATCCCCTACTTTTCACCATTTTTTTTTCTCGGGGGGAGGGATTGATAATCCAAACTTGATAATCTATGACTGGCTCACAATTGGATGAAACATGTTTTTTATGCATATCATAACCATACATTAAGAAGTTTGGTAAACTAAGAGTTTGCCATTCAAAATGGCCATAGAAATAGTGGATTTACCCATTAAACGTGGTGGATCTTTCCATAGTTACGTTAGTTTACCAGAGGGTAAGCCGTTGAATATGGGGGGATGAGATTCTTATCCCAATCATGGTGAGTTCCCCATTTCAAATCCCAATTTTCTTCCCAGAGAATCCCCCATTTTGCAGTAGCAAAACTTGCTATTGATGATGAGTCATCCCCAAAAACAACCACCCTATTGTGAATCTGTGTCATCCCATTACCCTCTGGTAAACGTTTACATAGCGAACTAGAAAATCACCATGTATGATAGGTAAATCAACTATTTCTATGATCATTTTCAATAGCTATGTTAGTCATTACCAGAGGGTAATCTATGGTTATCATATGCATAAATATATGTTAAACATTCAATTCTGAACCAGTTATAGATTATTTTCATGGGATAATCAATCCCTTCCGCCCTTCGGCTAGTCACCTAGTCATTGTTATCCCTGTATCCTCTTGGTGGTGAACACTGGTGGTGAACACCACCCCCCTTGGATGATCAAATCATCAAGTTCCCGTAATACGGTACCCTCTGGTGGTTGACCTAGCCCTCTGAAAAATGATGGACTGAAAGTCACTTGGGATGATGACATTCCCAATATAATATATGGAAAAATAGTAGTGATGATAAACTCACCAATATATGATGATAAACTCACCAACATCAATAGTAGTTATCACACTATGGTTTGATAACTACCCTCTGGTAATGGTGATTTAGTTCGTGGATTTACCCAGCTATAAAATGGTGGATCTTTCCATCGTTATGTAAACGTTTACCAGAGGATGTGCCAAAAACAGGGATCTAACCAACAAGATGGCTGGATGATACAGAAATTCAAGCCTTTAATGATGCTATTGCCACAAAGGGATTGCATCAATCTTGCTCTAACTATGGCAACTATGGCAGATATAACTATAGTATACTATAGTTTTCATGGGGATTCTAATGGTTTATAAACCAACTTATTAGCGTTATCAAAATGCTCAGACTTCCCCAGTGAAACCGTTGCCGAGCCACAAATGTCCCACCTCGACCCCGCCGATTTGGCAGATCTTCCAGCCAGGCTGCGTTGCGTTGCGTTGCGACGCGACGTGCGGTGCGTAGAGGATGGTGAGGTTTGGGAACAAAAAAAATGGAATCCTAGAGGATGGTGATTTTCCATAGGGTTGTGTAAAAGTTTACCAGAGGGTAACCACTATTAATCATCATTAACCAATCCATGAATCCTGCAATGTGAGGCCCCCCAGTTATAAGTTGGTTAACAAAAGCCCCAGTAACTAGTTCGTTATTTGCGTACCATAAACCATAGTTATTGGAGTTATGTGCACCAACTGAGCTTTCTCGAACGGGGGCCTCACATTGTAGAGGATGGTGCCCCAGAGTTATAGTTACCCTCTGGTAATGACTAACGATTTGCCATGGTATAGATGACCCATAGAAATAGATGGTTTACCGTTCTTAAAAATGGTGGATTTTCCATGGCTATATTAAATAACCAGATGGTATCTATAGTTATCTAAAGTTATCTATAGTTATCTATAGTTATCTATAGTTATCTATAGTTATCTATAGTTATCTATAGTTATAGTTTGTAAACCTCGTGAAAACTATAGTTATCTATAGTTGTATCTATCATAAAACATAGAAATGAGCCGTTTATAAGACAACTGAACGCTATCTTAGGGGCCCAATCCTGTAGGGATATAAAATATACAACAATATAGAGATTGACAACATACATGTACTTAGGTATTCTAGGTTCATATGTATTCTAAAAAGCATCAGGGATGGAAAAACTATCACATATAAATATATGTCGTATGCATTTACAAGACCATCGGAAAATTGTATGTATGTACATATATTATGCACTGTATGTATTTATATAGGTATCTATAGTTATCTATAGCTATCTATAGTTATCTATAGTTATCTATAGTTATCTATAGTTGCCTATAGTTATCTATGGTTATCAATAGCTATCTATAGTTATCTATAGTTATCTATAGTTATCTATACTTATGTATAGTTATCTATAGTTATCTATAGTTATCTATAGTTATCTATAGTTATCTATAGTTATCTATAGTTATCTATAGTTTATCTATAGTTATCTAGAATTATCTATAGTTATCTAGAGTTATCTATAGTTATGTATAGTTATCTATACTTATCTATAGTTAAGTTATCTAAGTTATGTAGTCATCTATGTAAATAGATATATATATATATTATATGGGGTGTCGCATTGTTGTAATTCGCCAAGCTGAAAAATAGCTGCAATTTTGGAGTATACATCTGTTTCTGGTGAAATCGGGGTGGGTATAACTAGTATAATCAGTATAGTTCCTAAAGTATCCTGAAATATGAATACGTATAAATACCTATCTATGTACATAATTATAAGTATACCATATTATATATATATCATATATATATATATATTATATATATATCATACATTTATATATATATAATATACACATATATCATGTATTACTTTTGTATACTGCATGAGAATAGCATCATGGGAAAACATCACCATCCGGCGCCTGGACGCCCAACTGCTCTGCATAGCTTCCCTCCTTGACGCCCCTGGCGTTGCGTCGAAACGCGGCGTTGCGGCGTTGCGCCGGGGGCGCACCAAGGAGGTCGATGTTTCCACCCGAATGGGAAAATATGTATATATATTGTCAATGGGAATTCCAGGATCCTAAATTGGAGGTACTGTGCCATATAAGGCCATATTTTGTGGGGATATTCCCTTACATAGGCCTTACATAGGCCTTATGTATGGTAGGTACCTCCAATTTAGGTTCCTGAAATGGCCATTGATATTGGGTGCCCTTTCCCATTTTTCAGACACTACCAGTTTACGAACTGGAAAATGACCGGAAATCTCCAATAAATGGAGGTTTTAGTGGAAAAATCATCTATGAAAGGTGGATTTATGGAAAATGGCCCTCTAGATGATTTACTGGTTGGTGGTTGACCTACCCCTCTGAAAAATATGACTTCGTCAGTTGGGATGATTATTCCCAATATACGGAAAGTCATAAAAAATGTTCCAAGCCGCCAACCAGATAGATAATATTATATCTAAACTAGAAGTTGACATCATCTAATGTACATATATATATGATATATATATGTAGACAATAATATATACATGTATATATATACACTGTATCTATATCTAAAATCTCACAAGTTGAGTATGTATCTACAATATACATTGCTAAGTATTCTATATATATATTACGTACAAAGAGGACGCCCTCCAGCTCCAATAAGTCTTGAATCCAAGTTCTTCTTGACCCCCTTTTCGAATTTCAGTGTTGCCTGTTATGCCTGTTGTTGGATGGTTGAGAATCAACCTCCATTAATTAATCATTAATTAATTAAGCGTAATTAAAGCTGATAAATGTGTGATTTTTTTACCCTTCAGCAGACGAACAAAGATATGGAAAATCCAGCATTTATAGATCAATTCTTGGGGAAAACCGTGGATTTCGGTAGCTATCAAGCGTCGACTTCAGTCCATTAAGCCTTGTTTTAAGTTGAAGTGGTCAATGCAAGGATACATTCACATGTAGATGAGCTAAAATTCAGAATTGCAAACTACAAGATACTACAAGTTTGCAAATGCATCAGCATAATCAGCAGATATGTATGCACACTATGCTTTGTACATATGACATGTATAGTCATCGTGGAGTAGATAGAATATGAACATCTACTTCAGGATGATTCTACATATATGAATATATATATATATAGATATGAATATCTATATATATATATTGATTGATGTATATATATATGATACAAAGAAAAAAAACTCTGGACAAGTGTTCTTTCCCAAGCCATGGATGTCTTTGCTGATCTCGAGTCCAAAAACGCAGCACAGCCCCGGATCATCCCCGGGAGAATCATGGCCAGAAAAACAGATACGGATTGCCAGACAATACCCGGATTGGTAAATGATTAATACAATATGAAAACCATCATTAATGGGATGGGATAATGGCAGTTTTCCATGGAATTATGGGATTGACTGGGATAATCTATGGATATTATATGGTATAATAATTCCATGGTTAATGATAGGTACAATGTGAGGCCGGCGGCAACGAGAACGCTAAGTTGGTGAACATAACTCCAATTTCACTATGCTTTATGCTACGCAAATAACGAACTAGTTACTGGGGCGAATCTAAACCAACTAACATCACTGGGGAGCCTCACATTGTAGGATTCATGGATTGGTTAATGATGATTAATAATGGTTACCCTCTGGTAAACTTTTACACAAAACTATGGAAAATCACCATTTTATAGCTGGGTAAATCAACTGTAAATGGGCAATTTTCAATGGCTATGTAACAAATTACCAGAGGGTAATCCAAATTGATCTGTTGATTGCCAAAAATTGTGAACAGAAATTTATGCCAAATCCATTTTGGAGCTATGAATATTTGCTTCAAATTCGGAATCTTAATGGTGGAAATAATCTGTTGATCTTTTGAAATCAAATGATCTGGCTAAGATCAATTTGAACCAGATAAACAGATCAATTTCGTTATGCGTCATTTGGTTCAAATTGATCTTAATTTGCCAAAGATTGCCAAATCTGTTTGGGGTTTATGAACCTTTGGTTGTTTTCCAGTGCTTCATTGATAGGGTTTCTATGACCACATTCACAAAAACTCCATCTGTAAGATCCAGAGATTTGGCTCAAACTATGGCTAGACCATGCAGTTTGCATACCACAACCAGTTTGCAAACTGTCATTACCCTCTGGTAAACGTTTACAGTTTGCGACATAGAAGCCATGGCCCAGTCGAAATAGTGGATTTACCCAGCTATAAAATGGTGGATCTTTCCATAGTTATGTAAACGTTTACCAGAGGGTCACCCCAAATCATCCAGTCGTCGATGACCATGACGACTAGTACTGAAAGCAACTCAGCGCTTTGGGGGATCCCCCATAACAGCAACGCCGTTCCCACCTGACAGTCAGAGGTGTTTGTTTGCCCAAATCAAAGCCAATGGGAAAGGCGAAGAAATAGACATCCTCGGTGTCGACACCGTGAAAAGTGAAAAGTCAAAACCGGTGAAAAGAGACCACGGGATTTTTGTAATGTGGGGTGGCCCAAGTACCGAAGTCTGCTGATTTTCATTTCATCAATATATATATATATACATATACATACATATATACACAATGTATGTAGGTATGTATGTATGTATGTATGTATGTATGTATGTATGTATGTATGTATGCATGCATGCATTTATGTATGCATGGATGGATGCATGCATGCATCTATCTATCTATCTATCTATCTATCCATCCATCTATCTATCTATCTATGTTTGCATGTATGTTATGTTATGTTATGTTATGTAGTGTAGTGTAGTGTAGTGTAATGTATGTATGTATGTATGTATGTATGCATGTATGTATGTATGTATGTATGCAATGCAATGCAATGCAATGTAATGTAATGCAATGTAATGCAATGTAATGTAATGTAATTGTATGTAATTGTATGTAATTGTATGTATGTATGTCTGTCTGTATGTTTGTATTGTAATGTAATGTAATGTAATACAATTAAATGTAAATGTAAATGTAAATGTAATGTAATGTATGTAATGTAATGTAATGTAGTGTAATGTAATGTAATATAATATAATATAATGTAATGTAATGGAATGTATGTATCTATGTATCTATGTATGTTTGTATCTTTGTATCTAACTATCTATCTATCTATCGATCTATCGATCTATCTATCTATCTATCTATCTATCTATCTATGTATCTATGTATCTATGTATCTATGTATCTATGTATCTATGTATCTATGTATGTATGTATGTATGTACGTACGTAATGTAATGTAATGTAATGTAATGTAATGTAATGTAATGGTATGGTATGTAATGTAATGTAATAGTATGTAATGTAATGTAATGTAATGTAATGGTTTGGTATGGTATGGTATGTATGTATGTTTGTTTGTTTGTATGTATGTGTGTATATGTGTATCAGATTTCGTGACTTGCATGGATCTCTATATATAAATACATGTACTAGCAGTGAGATAGTATCTTATACAAAACCTTGTCAAACCAAACCGCGGTGGAACATCCAGTAGTTGTCTCAAGTGGGAAACGACGTGAGCATGGTGAAGAATCCATTGTTGATACCCGTTTCGCTCGTCCAGCAGAGCTTCGGTGATCTTGTTGGTTGAAAGACCCAAGAGCGTTTGCACCGAAAATGGTACTGGAAGTGGCCCAATTCCAAAAAAGTCACAGATACAAAAAAATCAAAGAATTATGTAGAGTCACTGTTGGACACAATCCTGCAAACTCATGAATCATTTCAGGAAAGACGGGCTTCCTAATTCGACTTCTTGGCCTTGCTTAACCACAAAATTGGGGTCCGATTTGACCCGATTCCATCTAGCGAGGAAATCACGCCTCCTTCGGGACATGACTGGCTCTGATACCAAACAAAGAAGCCAAGAAAGATACTAGCTGAAGGGACCAAATCTGGATTCAACCCAGTCAAATCAACTATGATCATCATCCAAAATACAACGAGAAATAGTCGGATGAATGTTAACCAGTCAACAGAATGTTGCATTCGTTGGCTAGCAATATCCGCAATATCCAATGAAATCTCCACCATCTCAGATGCTTCACCAATAGATCTAGATAGCCTCCTGTAAACGAGATGCCATGGAGATGGTGATTTTTTGGTGGCTGTTCCCGCCATGAATGCAGATCATGACGTCCGAAGGCTTCGCTGATTTTGGGATGATTCCTCTTATGAAACATCAGCAGTCGTGACTCAGTGACGCGCTTGTGATTTTGTGTTATTTTTTGAGCCAAATGGACGGCTCAGTACAAGGTGTGACTCGGTAAAAATTTCACTTGGTTAAGTATGTTGTTTATAGTGGATACATCTGTCGTTAATGAGAGTCAATGGATTTCAGATCGCAACAAACACACAACTAGGGGCGGTGTTTGGATGTTTTTGGTAGACATATACATATATTATCATATATTTATATAGATATAACTTGATATAACAAGTTCATAACTAGTTCATAGAAATTACAAAGCCACAAACACAACGATGGGACTCCACCTTTTCTCACCATGGCACCTATGATCCCATCCCGGCACCGAGGGGCTTGGAAGCTCTTGTCTGGCAATTGGAACCTGGCGCCGTGATATCTGCCCTATTCCATGCACAAAAAACATAATGTTTTAGAATAATATTGTTGCCAGAATATATGTTGGTTAGAATAATACGTGTTTTTTTGGCGACCATTCCACGTATTCCATGTCAATAGAAACCACTGTCTTTGATAAATCCAAACTGTGTCATGCGCAAATCCGCAGTGAAATCCCCAGTTGCGCCATTAAAAATACGTACCCCTCTCCCATCTTATTCTACTAGTTGGTTGAAAACGGTTTCCCTACTGTGGGTTATCAGAATCTCGAATAAATTAGCCAGTAAGTTTCCTTACATATTGATCAATCAACCAGGGTATTTTCAATGGCTCAATCTTGCTGGATACCCTCTGATAAACTAACATAGCTATGGAAAACCTCCATTTTTGATATAGCTAAATCAACGAACTAAGATGGCCATGGCTTCAAATTAAGAACTTACCAGAGGGTACATCCCAGTAAATCCCATTAGATCCCATGAAAAGTCACTATCAAACCTCATTAAATCAATTAAATCCCATTGAGTCACCATAAATCACCATAGTCACCATAAATCGGTTTTTAGCGGAAAAACAAAACTCGAGACCTCCCTTCTGAATCTCCAGGCCTCATCGGTAGCAATGGGATGTCATCCTCCTCCTCCGATGCTGCGACTGGAGCCGGGAGTGGAGCTGTGTGAGCCTCCGCCTGGAGGTCAAACAGAAGTTGCAGGAACCAACGCCAACAAGTTGCGGGTTTTTTTTGGTGGGATTGGGAATATCTGTGGGTTTTATATGGGTTTTCTATGGGTCGATTGAATGGATTTTTCATGGGAATACAATTGGCTTTGATGGGTTTCTCATGGATTTAATGGAAATATCATATAAGAAAGGTCGATGTAATGGAAGATTAATGGGAATGTATTTGGTGTCAATGGGACTACAGTGTTTGCAATGGGGATATCATGGATTATCACGGGAATATCATTGACCATAATGGGAGTACAATGGCCTTTATAGGATAAAGCCAATATAAACCCTGCATTTCGATGACCCTGACAAAGAATGGAGAAAGCAACATCATAAATGAGAGCTTCACCATTCAAAATAGGGATTCAACTACTGGGATAATGGTGATAGTGGTGTTTTTTTCAACCAACGATTTTTCATGATGCGTGTTTTATGGTAAATATAATGGGATAACATTTCACATCTCCCATTTCGTGGCTCGCCCCAATCCTGTGTTTTTTGTTAATGTTTTGGGCGAATCTGAAAACCACGTGGGCGGGTCCAGCCGGGGGGGTGGCTAAGATCCTATGAAAACAGGCAGAACTTCTTCTTGATCTTGAAAGTCATGGGATTATAACTACAACTAAGTGTGACAATCACTTAGAACTGCTTGGTCGCGTGACCCATTTCAATCCATTTCACCCATTCCCTCGAAACAATGGGAAAACTATGAACTGCCTCATCTCAAACAAGATGGAAATATCCAGTATGTGAAACCAAAAGCCGGATGAAGATTGCACACAAATAGTTAGTTGTGAGCTCTTTCAGAAATGTGTGTGTGTGTGATGGGGTTCTAACCCTAAAGCACTCATCACTTTCATGTCGCTGTTGCAGCGCAAGATATACTTTTGCAAAGCAAATCTATTCAATGTCATTCAATTTGCAGGAGCAAATCTATTCAATGTCATTCAATTTGCAGGATCACTTTTTATGCCCTTGGAAAAATCGCGACCCAAGATCAAATCATGAAATGACTTGAAATGATTGCATGTTACCGCCTGAAAACGGGCCATACCCAGAACTTTGAATCGAAAGTCCTGTGATGAATACTGAGGAGATATGATATTTCGATTCAACCTGCAGTATCCAACAAAATCCAACAGAAGCGGCTACAGGATGGTGCCCCCCAATTATGTTTGTTGGTTTATAAACCCTATGAAAACTATAGTCTATAGTTGTTAATTATAGTCATATCTACCATAAAACATAGTTAAGCCACTTACAAGGCTAGTTTCGCTGAGGGAAACCCATACCTTGGACCTCCAAAAAAAGCTGGCTGGAAATGCCTTTGCCGCTGGCTTCGCAGCTGGCTTTAGCGCTGGCTTCGCAGCGGGCATCGGCTCCTGTCGCAATGACGAAACCATCAATCAATGGATCTCCAGCCCCTAATCACTGGATTGGTTGAAGGGAAAATCTACAGGAAACCATGGTTTTCCCCATGAAATATAGGGGTTTCCTATAAATTGTCCCTTATATAAATCAATCCAGTGACCTAAATGATAAGAAGTTCCTAATCCTTATCATCCTGTCAGTTGCTCCTTTATCTCCGTTTTAGTTGATCCTACAACCATTTTTAACTCACCAGGTTCTAGTTGCTGATGAATTGCTCGCGAAATATTGAAAACTTACAAGACTTGTCCAAATAGTTGCGATGTGTAAAACTCTTAGTACTCACTGGTTTCCAGAAACCAACTTTGCCAACTCGTCTGTCCTCCAGCATCGGTGCTTGAAACCTCTCCTCCCGCGGCGAGGCCGGCGCCGACGTCACCGCCCCGCGGCCCTCAGCGGCCACACTGGGGCTGGAGGCCGACGTCTGCGGCACGGGGGAGGTGGGGCTGTTGGACGGAGACGCACGGGCCAACTGTGGCAACTGTGGCTCGGCGTCGCCGTCGTACTTCACAATCCATTGGACCTGAAAAAAACGTTGAGGCTGTGGGAGAATGGGAGAATATACCATCATTGGATTGGTTTAAGGGAAAATGTTAACCGGAAAGCCCCATATTTAATGGGGAAATCCATGGTTTCCGGTTAAGATTTTCCCTTAAACCAATCCAATGATACCATGATTTCAACTTCAAAATTCTAAGTTTGAGAATGTGAAAACAGACAAAATATGGTTGAATTTAAAGGAACGCAGCAAAAGTGGGGGCAGGCAAAGGGACCGAATGGTTAGCTGAATGATTTCTTACCACGTGTCTTAAGACGGGGCTGCTGAAGATATATGGGAAAACCGTGCTTATCCGACAAACAACGGCTGCTTCGAAATTGAAACATATAAAATGTCGGCCACAGACAAATTGCTGGTCTTGGACAAACACTTGCCGCCCAAACGACCAATCTTAGATGTCCCGCCATGTGTTTTTAAAGTTGCTTGATATTGCTTAATCATGCTTAATCCATATTATATCTAATTACATATATACAGTATACCCCAATTAACGAGAGCTTAAAGCATTGAACTACCATCACCATCTGGTTTACCAAGTTTATATCAGCCACATCCTAATTTTCCGGTGATTAATTCCCACTTTGGGTGAATGATGAACCCCATATTTACTGCAAGTGTTACACTACCCTTTACCAAGGACCCCGTCAACTATATAAACATGTATATATATATATATACATAGTCTTAGGTAGTAATCCCCAGAAAGATTGAAAAGCAAAATCCCATTGAAATAGTGATGATTTACTATCTTTCTGGGGGTTACTATCAATCATAAGCCCCAGCCGCACCGTGGCACCCGCCTCATGTTGCGGCACATCCCCCGCGGGGTAGCTGGTATCGCTGGGCGCCAGCAAACCTTCGTTCGAGTCCATGTCCTGCCACTCGGGCACAATCCCAGGAAAATAAAATCAAGAACTGTACGGAGTCCCCATTACCCACAGGATCCATGTATGGTATATATACTAACATTGGGGGTATATTGATGGTAAATGTTACCTATAGCATACATGGATCCTATGGGTTATGATCATTATGTCCCCGTTAGATGATTATGATCTGAAAATGTATGCCCCGTTATGGCCCAACTGTTGGAATTGTCCATCTTGCATCGGACAACACAGCTTGTTGCCATGGCCAAGTCATGCCGAGTCTATTGTTGCACTTATCTTATATGGAAAGAACACCCTAATACTGTGGGCTAGGTAAGAAAAAGGAACCGAATTAAGCCGTATGGCGTTTGGCTTCAGCGAAAACCCCTTTCTGCTTGGATAAAAAGTCGTAAAAGGGTACCCCCATGCCATCGTTTGGAACTTAACTTCCCCTAGTCTTTAATGGAATTACATATATATATATATTATATATTATATATATATTATATTATATATATATTATATATTATATATATATTATATTATATATATATTATATTATATATATATATTATTATATATATTATATATATTATATATATATTATATTATATATATATATATATTATTGCAAAGTTATTATTGCAAAAGAGGATCGGTGATACAACAAAATAATAGGCCCATACCAACAAAGTGGCCCCATAGTTAGCTACAGCAAGTAGCTTTTGTGATGGATACATCTGTAGTTAGATCAGCAACATTTTTGTGTGCGGTCATCACCAACTTAGCTATCAAAAATCATAAATCAACTATATTCAACTATTAAAAAATATCTATAAATATCTATAAATATCTATAAATATCTATAAATCCTCAATTTCTATTCATTTCGAACTCGACTTTTAATCCCTTCAGTACCTCCCTGGTCCTCCCCGATCTTTTCGGGCGGGCGAAGGACTTGGTGATGCGGTCGAGCTTCTTGAAAACATCTCCTAAGCACTGAGAAAAGCTGGTGTTTTGGGCTGGAAATATGGAATATTATTATTATGGAATGATCATTGGCTTTTAACCATCTGTTTGAATCTGTTTGTGGATTACGTTCCCCAAAAATTATGTGGTGTATCATAATTTTCTCATTGAAACATGCTTTAAAAAATTGGGGGCCCTATCTTCCATGTTGATACAAAACCATCTGGCAGTCCAGGGTTGGCTTATCCCCCACTGCCACCACAAAAAGCGCCTTCACTCGACCAGAGGGTCGAGAGAAAAAAAAAAATCGGGTGCCGCTTCGGATTTCACGAAAGTTGATGATTCAGACAGTCAATCATAATTTCAGGATCCTAAAATGGAGGTACGTTAGTACCATATTTCTGGCCATATGAATTGTGGGGATATTCCTGAAATGGCCATTGAGACAAGAAACAATTGGTAGTACATTGGTACATGATAAATCATGGTGTCCTAAGTCATGGTGGTACCTTTAGTTTTCATCCATTTTTCAAAATGAGATGTTCATGGATTTTCCGTGTTTTATAAACCATCCAGTTCTTGGGGTACCCCCATGGCGCTCGGGAAAATGACAAAGAACAGTTGTGTCCTAATCTCAGCTCTCTGGATCTTAAACCACTCATCCACCATAGTAAACAGCTTCAAAAAACAACCTCCAAAAACCAGAAAAAAAACGGCTGTCACGGCTATCAAATACATTCAAATGCCTACACACATACCCGGCTATAACTATAACCCGTTTACGATCACCAGCTAACTAAGTTATGGCCCATCCAAGTAGATACTTGAATATACAATATCGATATATATATATATATACATAAGTTAAGTGGTGATCGAAACTGACTTGTATCCCCAAATATTACTGGCTATACTACATGGCTTAAAACCCAGATGCGATCACTACGCATCTTATGATATGGTTGGTTCTAGAACCTCCCCATGTTTAGCAAAAAAAACTACAATACCACCATTTATGGTTGGTTGAAGTCGCATGATTTTTACTCATCTCATAATCAAGTTCTAACTTCATTAAAGACTCATCAAGTCCCACGAAAAACCTGTCAAAACCCTATCAAAAACCTCCCAAAACGCCATGACACACCCGTTTTTTTAGCCTCCCAAAACATTAAAATTCAAAAAAAAAACACATCATCCCAAGACCCAAAAACCATCAAAAACCTCCTGAAAAAAACCATCCACCCCATCCCCCACCGGTTCCGAGGCGCTCTGCCTCCGTCAACCCGGAAAACTCCGCTTGGCTCAGCTGGCTCCGTCGAAACTCCGCCACCTCTGCGGCCTTGGGCACCGACTGCCGCGGCGACGGGTCGTCCGGCTGATGACGCGCTGGCGGCGGATTGCCGGAAGGAGAAGAGGACTTGCCATGGATTTCATGATTGAATGTCTCTGGTTATTGATGGTTAATGATGGTTAATGATGGATTTTTGTTAACGGATTTCCGGATTTTCCATCATCGCCATAATTTAATGATTTACTGTTCCATCTTGTTGGGGATTAGCCTCTTGTTTGCTCACTAACAGATTGCGAGCTGGGAAAATGGTATATGGATGATTTACCTAATATTTACCTATCAAAATGGTGATTTTCCACAGCTTTGTTAATTAACCAGATGGTATGGAGGAAGGGCTCTAGGTCACTAGGTTTCGTGGGATTGGAATGGGAACCATAGTATGATATATATATATATATTGATTGATTATACCAACTATTCTGAAGTGGTTTTCATGGTTTTCAATTGGCTATATATATATAGACGTATGTATATATATATACGTATATATATATATATGTGCATATATATATATATGTACATATATATATATATCAAATTGAAGATTTAAGCCTCAAAATTGGGGTGGCCAACCATGATATTGGGATATGTCATGGAAAGTAATGGGATATCATGCTATAAAGCCGAGGGATGAGGGGTGACCCTCTTTTTAACCATTGTTTTACCGTGTCATAGTGTGTCTGAAACAGGGCATACCCTTGAAATTGACCCTTTAAGGGGAAACTTGATGATCAACAAGTGAACTTAGGATATGATATACCCACCAATTCTGGGATAAACGTACGTATATTTCACATTATTTCACCACCCACAGGTACTTGTAACAAGACGGGACACCTTTGCAAACCCCAAGGGTGGCTATGAAGAAGCAAACAAAAATTGGGATGGAAACAACCAAAAGTTGTTAATGTGGCTATGGATCAAACCCTCGGCACCGTGATTTTCGCAAAAACTATGGTTGGTTGATGGTTGATAACTCCAATTTCACTATGGTTTATGGTACGCAAATAACTATAGTTACTGGGGCGAATCTAAACCAACGAACATCACTGGGGGGCCTCACATTGTAGTATTTATGCACGTTTGTTCGGCCATTTACTTGGATAAAACATACGCGGCCGGTGGAAAGTAATCGTTGGATTGATGATTTATGGTTAAAAAACTGCAAGATACCAAGGTTTGTTTAACCACTTTACATGGGGTAAACAGTTTCGAGGTAAACTAAACCCATGTCTTCAACTGGTAATTCTTGTTGCAATATTGTATCCCAAAAACGCACCATTCTCAAAGTGTTCTGTTTTGCCATTTTGGGCCGTGAAAAATCGTCCTCAAAAAAACGGGTAAGATCAACTCCAACGAACCACCAAAGATTGACATCAAATATCCCCGACACGTCGTGAAAAATACCCTCTTTTTATAGGTTGAAATCCCTGTTTGATATTATATATAGCCATTGAACCTCAACCTCAAAATAGTTTTTTTTTGATCCACAAAAACACCAATACACCATGATACACCCTTTATAATTCCACTATAGTTCAAATATTGCTGATTGCGCCATTTCTTGTCCAACGGTTTTGGAGGATCATCCCTCGAATCGCGTCAGGGTGGTCACTCTGGTGAAGGTAAGACGATGTGGGCGTCTCCATTTTTTCGCGGCTGGTCTACCATTTTCTGAAAAACGGCTTATAAGCCAAGTTACTAACCACCTATTAAGCCTAATAAATCATTATAACATATTATAACCACTTCTGAACTACATAGCCCATATATCCCTAACTACTTGCTATGGTTCTTAATCACTTCTTAACCACTAAGTGAATCTATAAATCAGCTCTATAAATCCCATTCCCCATGGAAATTCTGGGTGAAATACATTGAAATACCCCATGTTTCTATGGTTTTTCACCATTTTCCCATGGTTTTCCCATGGGAAACCCATGGCACCACCGGCCGCGGCCCCTTACGCGGCGCCGTTCCTATGCGATCCAGCGCCGCGTCCAGCTGCTCGTCGCGCTTCCGCAGCTCCGCCGAGGTCACGCTGCGTTTCCTCTCGTGGAAACCGGCCCGACGGTGGAAAGCCCAGAACTTTTAAACGTTTTAAACCATTGATAGATTTATTAGATAGATATACCATAGATCTATATTAAATATCCATTAACTTATATTAGATAGATATATAGGGGATCACGAATAGATGGCATCTTCACTGCGCCCGGAAAGATGGCATATCAAGCGAATGTAGATATTTATATGCCATAGATATACCATAGATATAGATGTTTAATCATCGATGTTTAATCATCATTTATCATATTAATCCCCCATATTTATCATTATTAATCCCTATATTATACTGGTTGGTGGTGCAATAACCATCTTGAAAAATGATGGAGTTCGTCAATGGGAAGGATGACATCCCATATATTATGGAAAATAAAAATTGTATATAGATAGATAGATAGATAGATAGATAGATAGATAGATAAATAGATAGATAGATAGATAGATAGATAGTAAGATGGGTAAAGATATTGATATAGATAGATTTAGATAGATATATAGATATATTGTCAGAATATAGATATATATATATATATGGATATGTATATTTACCATAGATATAGATAGATAGATAGATAGATAGATAGATAGATAGATAGATAGATTAGATAGATAGATAGATAGATAGAGAGAGAGAGAGATAGATAGATAGATATAGATAGATAGATAGATAGGTAGATAGATAGATAGATGTAGGTATAGATATAGATGTAGATATAGATATAGATGTAGATATAGATATAGATAGTTTTATACCATGTGATATATCTATATATAGATAGATGGGTAAAGATATAGATATTGATATTTAGATAGATATATGGTATTATTATGATAGATATCTTTACCAAAGATACCATGATAATGATACATATAGATATATATATATAATATAATATATATAGATATAATAATAGATGTGTATATACCATGATACCATTTTTTGCCATGATACATATATATATATGTATATATATATTATATAGAAATATACATTGATATTGATATTCATATTGATATTTAGATAGATTGATTGATATTGATATTGATATTGAACTAGATAGATAGATAGATAGATAGATAGATCGATCGATCGATAGATAGATAGATATAGATAGACAGATAGATAGATAGATATAATATAGATATATAGATGTGTGTATATAGATAGATATATAGAAATTGTGACGCTTTGGATGATGTGAAATTGTATATATATATGTACATATATATATATATTATATATTATATATATATATATGGTGCAACCATTTGATGTAAACACGTCCATGTGGTATTTGTGGATATCATATGTTCGTTATTCTACGGTTTGCTCTATGTTACTGTTTACTATGGTGTGCTTGTCAGAATTGAAATCAAACAAACGGTATCATGATATGGTCTATTCTATACCTAGTTAGTGTATCGTTTTGTAGTTGCAACCAAATTATTCCATATAATTAGTCAATATCATTCATATGTGAATTGCCAACGGTTATATCAATATAATAGAATTATAACTCAAGTTATGACGATTCGCCTTTCGCTATCTTGGTTATGAAATTGCTACATCCTTAGCAAAGCAGTTATATCTACAAATACCAAGAACAGGAATTGGTAAATGTCCGAATGTTTCACATCACTCAATTATTGGCGATATAATATCCAACTGAGACTTTTTCGGATGTGAATATAATATAATATAATCAAGAAAAATCTTTACCAACCTCTGGCCCACACCACAGCGAGAAGGCCGCCATGTACTATGAAAAATTTGCCCTGAATTTGGGGGGTGCCATGCAGTGCCATGTGTTTTTTTGTCTGAAAATCGGCGTTTTCCCATAAATCGATAAAATCATGGTTTTTCCCACCGAAATGATCTAAAATGACTGAAAAATCGCGGAAAAAACACCATTTTCAGACACACCCATGGCTAAGCAAAAAAAAGGTGAGATGATTCATGTGATATGATCCCGAAAAAAAAAACACCATGGAAAATCTCAATGAATTTCCCATTGAGTCACCATTCAGTCACCATTAAAATCCATCAAAATCCCATCAAAATCCCATTCAAACACCATTAAAATCCCATTAAAATACCAAAATCCATTCAAACACCACTAAAATCACCATTAAAATCCCAAAACCCCATTAAATCCCCATTAAAATCCCACTGTTGATCCCCATTGTTGATGAAAAAAAATTCGCCCAGGCGCCCAGGAGGTGCTTCAGGTCGCCACACTAAAACCTGGCGTCAGGTTTGGAATTTCACCGATGTGAGGACAGATAGCCATGCAACGCTCGAATAGTAAAACAATGATAGTAGTAATACCATAGATATACCATAGATCTATATCAAATATCTATTTATATATGGTATATCTAAGCCATATCTATATATATATATATTTATGCCATAGATCATAGATATTTATAGATATACCATTTATAGATATATACCTTTTATCTATATAGATATTGAAAAAGCCATATATATATATAGATATTTATATAGATATTTATATAGATATTTAATCATCATTTATCATATTAATCCCCCATATTTATGATTATTAATCCCTATATTATACTGGTTGGTGGTGCAATAACCATCTTGAAAAATGATGGAGTTCGTCAATGGGAAGGATGACATTCCATATATTATGGAAAAAAAATGTTTGAAACCACCAACCAGTAATCATAATAATGATTATAGTAAGCATAACGATTGTAGTAGAAACTTGATAAGGATGATTATCATATAGTATAATGATTATCATCATGATAACGATACCGATAGTAGTAACATGAATGATACTTATGATAGTGGTTTCTTCATATTTTTTCTAGTAGTACTAAAAAAATGAATCATGAATGATAATTTATCGAATAAATAACAACCACTAAGTTTGCGAAAGTTTGGGGCTTCCCATGGTGGCCCCATGCTGTTTTCACCACGTGGTTCTGGTCCTGCTGGGTCTCTCACCAGACGGTATCATCCCCACGGGTGCCGTGCAAAAAAACTCCACATTTCGAACTCTGGTTATAGTTTTGTTGTGATAAAACTATCATAGTTATCATGAAATAACATATTATTATAACCATAGTCTATAGTTACTTCGAAAAATTAGGAGGATCTTAGTTTATGCAAAAATCCTTCCTAACTCTGTTTCGTCAAATGATCCTCAACGCCACCGTCGCCAGGGGACGTTGGGATCCACCGGGTGGTTTGATGCGTCCTCATCGCAGCAGCATTGGTTTCCCATGGCGCACGGCACGGCGGCCTGTCGTTCTGGCGATGTCACGGGCTTCTGCAGAGATGATGTGTTGGAACTAAGTTGTGTGACATTGTTGGATTGAAATTCATCATTGTTGCTTGATGACTGTTGGTTTTATCCTTTGGTCATCCAGGATTTTTCCTCAAAAGCATTCAAAAGCACTTTCGAACGAATGGCAGGACCGTCTTTTTCCATGGTTTGACCGTGAACCGTGCCTCCCTACTGTCGGAGCTAGATGTGCAACAGTCAGGAGATTCAGAGTTACAGAACGTCAGGAGCAAAACAATGTCATTAATAGACCACCCATGACTGGGAATGATTGAAATCCCACCTATAAAAATGGTGATAAAAATGGGGGGATGGTAAACATTTATGACATTGTTTTACCCACATTACAGCTGTATCAGTCCTTTATTGTCTGGATTATGTGGGATGGTCTAAAGCCTCGTCTGCCAATGGCGGCCGTTAAGTGGTCCAGAGTGGTTAAAAAAGATGTGGGGAAACGACCCAGGGTTGATTACCCAATGTCTGCCAATGAGACATGGCAATGTTCAGAAATTGTCTTCTTTTGAAGAATCATCTATGATTGCATAGAAAAGTTGAATTGCTGGTTTCCATAAATGGGGGGGTACAGAAAATGGATGGTTTATATAGTGGAAAATCCCATCTATATCATGTATAAATGGATCAAAAAAGGGGGTACCCCTATGACGAATCGGAAACCACCAATTGTCCATTGCAGCTTCGCCAGAGAGTAACCTACCCCTATTGCAGTATCTCATGATCTCCAAAGACCTTCCCTGCAGGAGCTTGAGATTGCGCCTCGTCAAGCTTGGTTAAAACCCCAAGGTTGGTTAGCCACTGGTAAACAAACAGTTTGCGACATAGAAAATGGCCATAGAAATAGTTGATTTACCCATGAAAAATGGTGATTTTCCATAGTTAAGTTAGTTTACCAGAGGGTACCCACTCTTGAATGTTTGACTTACCAGTATTGTTCATTTCATCTCTTTTGGAAGTCTTTCATCCCTTGTTCAAAAGAAAAAAACACCCTTTGGTACTCAAACATGAGAATGGAATCTCCAATAATCATGGAAAACAAAATCATCTACACATGAAATATGTTCGTTTATTGTCATGTATTGTCATGTTAGATTACCAGTACACACCAGCAGCTTTTCTCCACAGGTCACTGGCTTCCGGAACCCCGACAAAGAAGCTGCGATGGCGAGTGCTAGGGAAGGCAACAAGAATTGTATTAGGTCTGAAAATCCAGTGATCAACAGAGATCATTAATTAAATCTGGATCGTTTACAATAAAGTCCATTATAAGTACGATAAAGCTTATAGTAATGAATGACAAATGCAATATAATGCAACTGTTATTAGCATCCAGACATGTTTCAACAACCATTTACTCAAAAAAAATAGTTCATCATACTAAAAAAAAACAGATAAAACAGGTACATATGCATTCACTGATTCTTTCCAATACATTTTTTGAATCTTCGTTTGCCGATCAACGGCATCCGCGACTCGTCATCCGCGATTCGTCCCCCGATTCAGAAACGCCAGCGGCCGATAGTTGCCATTGTAAATCCGTCTTAAACGATGATTAAAATGTAACAATCGTTATATAATGTTATATAGATGTACATATCTTAACATAGATATACATAGATATACATAGATATACATAGATATACATAGATATATATATATATACATAGTATATACATATATATATATGTATATATGATATTTATATATATATAGTCTAGTGCAAAGTAAATACACTCCTACAATAACGCCACAAGATTGTAAATGCCAAAAACGTGATGTTGTAGTGTAGACTGCTGCGATGAAAAATAAATGAAACCATAAGCATAAGTCGGCTTGGTAGAGGTAGGCAGGAAAGCAGGCATAGATGCACATCTTTGTACCACTATGTGGTAAATGAACATGCGGACACATTCCTGCGGCATAGAATTGGAACAAAATGTATTTGTCTGATATTTATGTACAAGCAGCAATATGTGAGCACATCCAGCTGTTGGTATGTAGTGTATGTGTCTATTTATCTGTATAATATACATACATACGTAGAGCACATGTACGTGTACGAATATGGTCAGAGGCCTAGTGCACATGTTCATATGGGCCAAAAAAAAACATACTGTTGGATGTGTGAATATAAACATATACATACACATGTATCGACACATATACATACACATGTATCTACACATGTATCTATACATGTATCTATACATGTAAGTCTGCAAGCACACACACATACATTCACTGCACATCGGAATAATCCCTGGTCACTAGCCCCACAGTTTCAGCCGCTGGGTGTTTCCTGTTTTGGCGCTCACATTTCGAGCAAGCTCAGCCAATCATCTTGTGCTTCAGATGTCTCCTGCTGTGACTGGGATTGGCCAAAATTCATCTGCAGTAAGAGGCCTATGAAAATCAGAAGGGGCCTAATCATGATAATAGAATAATGATGATAGGGAACACTATAAAAGTTGTTCTGATTATCATGAATCTAATAACATCATTAGCTGGTACTATTGCCTTATCCTTATTGTTGTTGGTATTATTTCTATAGTCCAGCCATATACCTTGGATGTTCACGACCAATTACAAGGTGGGGCTCCCAAACGAGAAGGTTCAGTTGGATTATAATAACTAGCTTGACAAGCTTAAGTATGTGTATATATTCTGGTTGGTGGTGTCAACCCCTCTGAAAAATATTATATAGTCAGTTGGGATGATTCTTCCCAATATATGGAAATAGATTTTTCCCCAAACCACCAGCCAGTATTACTACATAGAGAATGGGGTTTATAGACCGACTTATACAATGGGGGGCATCGCCTTGTATAAACTGTTTTCTTATTATCACTCTTGTAACCTAAATTACGGGGTTTATAATACTTCTGGTCGATAATTTCCGGTGTGGAACCATGTTCCTAACTTATGTGGATAAACCAGCCAAGCAAGGGAACTATCTCTTGAGACATATTAAATATATATATATGTATAACAATAATATAAACCAAGCTGATGTGGATAAGCAACAGACGCAACAGATCCCAGGGACTTACTAGTCCGTTAGACAACCAGCCTTCCCAACCATGTTGGTCACCCAAGCTTACAATTCACCAAGTCAAATTTTGGAACACAGTCCTGTGTCCTGGGACAAATGTTTCGGAGCCGATTACCTATTGGTGAGTGGGGTTGACCCCTCTGTTAACCAAGCACTGTTTTCCAAGGCCATCGATGAAGTCATACTGGCAGGACCGAGGCCCGAGACACTTTCCTCGCAGGATATCAAAAGATGTTCCAATTGAAAAAATGATGTTCCAAAAAAAATGGCTATTAGCCTATGGTAAAATTTACCAGAGGGTAGCTGTCTTATCCCTATTTTCATTCGTAAAATACATATTGGAGGTTTCCAATATATGGGGGTATCCCCACTTGTCATCCAGTCATGGATTTCCATGACTTAGTAAGACCCCTAGTGAAACAACCTCTGGTGACACGGATCCAAACCATGACTTCATCTATCATCAAACAAACCTGTTGTTACAGGGCTTTCTGAAGAAACCCCTCGTTTTTCATCAACCAACCAATGGGAATTTGGGACATCTTGAAATGCGTATACTGAGTAATAGGCGAAATCTATATGTAATGTGTATATATATATATGTATATATATATACATATGTGTATATATATATATGTAATGCATCAAAGATTATCAAAATATCGAATTGATTTTGAACTCCCATATATGTACCCCAGTAATATACATTGATGATCAAAATATCACCATGATAGATTACATATACTTTGATAATATCTATATGTTGATCATATCTTACTGATAACTATCACCAGTATTACCCCCCGTTGAACTCCCAAGGACTCGCCTTCGTTGCGACCGTTGCGGGACTTTCAGGCGATCTGCCAACAGGAGGCAGATCAGTCATCCCGTGGACGATGAAACCCGCGGTGACCCGTGGTGACGACTGGGCACCATTTTATCAAAAACATGGAAACGTGAAAAGAAAATGAAAAGAAAGTGAAATAATGATTAATTCACAACTAATTCACAACTATATATCGAAATTCTAAGATGTCCAGCTTTCGCGCAACGGAGTCTTTGGGTGTTCATCTCTCGTGTTGAGCAATGGCCAAAAACATTTTTTGAGGGATGTGACTGACACATAAGATTCATTAGAAGAGGTCGGACGATGATGTTCATCCCAGCTTGTAATTTGGTTTATACTGCCTACACATAGTAGGACATGGTCCACAAATGTGGTCAACTAAACCAAGACTGCGACCTAACTTTGCATATGCTACAAATGGGATATTGATATATCCCCAATCGGGGGACTACCTTGGAAAGCTCAAACCAGCACGTACTGTATTACCCTGGGGCCGCCCCCAGAAACAGAAACAGTGTCGGAAAAACTGGGGTGGTGCATGACAAGGGACACGCCCGGCCCATGCGTTTTGTGGATTTATCCATAGACATGTACCATGATTTGTACATGTCCATTTAAGGTTTTGCCATCGATTCTGTCCATGGCAGTGTTTGGACGTCCACGGCAAGGCCAACTCGTAAGGGACTGGCTGCAAGATGGAAATCCAAAAAAGGCTGTGCACCAACTCAACACCGACCAGCCCCACAATGGGAGGCTGCCGGGTCAGGGTTGGTGATATCACAGATTACCCAGGGTCCTGAACAAAGTTCATAGTTCATAGATGACCCACTGTATTTTGGGGGGTCCAGTAAAATAGGTGAAGATTTTTTACCACAGTTGCGGGGGCTACATCCCAATGTAACCACTGTTAAACCCATTTTTATAACCTCAATTGCACAAGCAAGAAAGGATCCCCTTTATAAATCTGATGGCAGTTCCAGCACTGGCAACTTGGCAACTAAAGGTTGATCCTCATCACATGGGATTGTGATCCAGTCATTACTCGAGAATCCTCCAATGGATCGATTCAGTGGTTTTTCTAAGCCTGGTGAACGCGTGAACGCTGAACGCGTCCCCGATTCCTGGATCCCAGGAATCACGTGGCTCATATCCCCTGTTTTTCCGAAACCATGTCGGTGGGAAGAGCTCTGATCCCTTCTTGTCGGTGGAAGATACCCTCTGGTTATGACTAACATAGCCATGGAAAATGGCCCATTTATAGATGGTTTACCTATTAAAAATTGTTATTTTCCATGGCTATGTTAAATAACCAGATGGTACTTTTTGATGATCATTTCCTAGCAGAATCCGTGTCGAATTAAAATACGATAAAATACGACCCCAAAGAAGGACTGATGCGGTAGACCCAGTTGTAAACCATCCAGAATATCACTATAGATGGCTGCTAATCATCATATTTGTTCCCTTAATGGTAGGCTTATCATTGGCTTTACCACATGTTTTTGAACCGGCGTCCCATCCTGGCCCAAGTTGGATTTAGCTGCAGCCCAAAATCCAGTGGTTTTTTGTTCAACATCTTGAGAAATGTGCCATAAATTTTGTAAATCTGATATAAGATGGCTGTAAATCCGAGCATCTCTCTGATTTCGATCCCGCCCAGCCTTTGGGTTTGCTGAGGCTCTGAACGCGTAAGAGCCGTAGGAGCCGTAGGAGCCGTAGGAGCCGCCAGCACTGAAGATCGTAAGACCTCTGCCCGAGTCTGGATGGTTAAATGATCTGCAAGTGCTTCGCATATGGTGCGCTTCTGCGCTACCAAACATGTTTTTCTCTCAAAAATTGACCACATCCTTCAAACTCCCACCAAAAAATGTGTTTTTTTTCAAACCGCCAAAGAATTGGCCAGAGTCATCCCCACGGTATCACCAGGTCACTTTGACATTGACGCTGCTGTCATCCCAGGGCAATCTCCGCTTGGTTGCATCTGCCCTTGGGCCACGGACAGGAGACAACATGTTTCCTGCGATCCAAGAAAGATCCCATGAACTATAACAGTTATAGTTCCCCATAGTTCCCCACAACCCAACAGCTAAGTTATGTCTACCAAATTAGCTATCATAAATCAGCTATAAATGGTTTGGATCATCCGGAAAGACCGGCTTTAAAAAAAGAGTAGAAACTGGGAGACTGAGAGTCTAAATCAACACTTCAAATATAGAATCCCCAGAAGCCAAAAAAAACATGACCAACATAAATGTGTTCTTTCCTAGGCATTCCATAAGGGTGGGCATGGGTCAACATTTCGGGTATCCCAATTTTTTTGTGGTCTCTAAAGGGACTTACATGTTGACCTGTTGACCCATCCCAGAATAGATGGCTTAGCCTCCAGTAAATTAACAGTTCGACCCTGGTAGTCATCGGGGTTAAAAGACTACGGATTCCACTATTAAAATTGGTCAGTTTCAGGGTCAAACTGTTAATTTACCAGAGGGTAATTCTTAATGCTACTGCTACTGCTAGTGGTGCTCCCCTAGTTATAAGTTGGTTTATAAACCCCAGTAACAATCGTTAGATCTACCACAACCATAGTTAATCTACAATGTGAGGCCCCCAAGATAGCTAAGTTGGTTTATAACTCCAATAACTATGGTTTATGGTACGCAGATAACTATAGTTACTGGGGCTTATAAACCAACTTATAACTGGGAGGGGCTCACATTGTAGTTAGTTCAACCAACTTAGCTATTGTAAACGGGGGCTCCACCTTATAGGTACCCTCTGGATCCCTCTGGTAAACGTTTACAAAAAAAACAATGGAAAATCACTATGTTTCATGGGTAAATCAACGATTTCTATGGCCATTTTCAATAGCTTTGTTTGTTTATGAAGAATGTTAAATAATTGTTTAAATAAATGTGGTTAGAAATGAACCATGATATTGATGATAATGTTCCAAATATATCTGTAATTAATGCTATATCTGCTATATGAACTTGATTAAAATATAGAGGAAATGACCAGAGGGCACATAGAAGTCAAACACTCACCGTCTCGGGATCCAGCGTCCTCGGCGTCATCTCTGTCTCTTTCTCCGCGGGCTGTTCGCTCTGCGGCAGGGACAAGTCTTTACAGGTCGTATTGATCTCCTGCGACCGAGAGCCACGGAGAATGATCGTAGAGGTTTTATTTTTAGAACCCCCTGGTTTTTATTGATATCTATTGTAAATGCATATGTATATAATTATATATATATATGTGATGTGTATAATTGTGTATATGAGTGTCTTATTATCGAAACTAATATTATCTAATATGATATACTTGTTCATAATTGTCTACCATTATTTGAGACTTCTACACCAATATTAAGTGGTTAGATAATTATGGTTGAAAATTGCTTTGGCACAACCTCCAACGAATCCCTTTCACAAACTGGGTCCCTGAAAAACCTGCGCAAGGGATTGACCATCCCAATCCTACGGTAATCAATTCGGGGACAGCAACGGGTAATCGGTAGCCCAGCCCAGGGGGGTTCTTAAAATGGGTCCCCAGTCGTCACCATGGGTTTCTATACTGAAATTCTAGGTCAATTTGGATGATTTGAGGTTGCCCCCATGACTTAGGAAACCTTCATTTATCATTTGATGTGAAATAATCAAGGGTTACCCTCCGAATCATCATTTTGATAGGTAAATCAACTATATATATATATAAACAGCCATTTTCAATAGCTATACTAAATTACCAGGGGTTATATGTTCCCCGACATTGCCAGCGTACCAAAACTTTGGGTCGGGCTCTATTGGTGTGATGCGGTGTGGTAACCAAATAAAATTGCCTGGTGCGGCTAAATATCAAATCCAAAGTCCCTCAAATGTCCATGTTGCTTCAGGCGTTCAAAAAAAAATGCCACATATATTAACTATGGTTAACCATATATATGGGGTATAACCATATGGGGTATAACCATAGTTGCTTCAGGCGGTCAAAGTCACAAATCAGCCATCGTATGGAAAAGGGACCATCGACCATCGGCAGATTTCCCTCGTGGGATGGAACCATTTTGAGACAAAAAAATCTGCGCAAGGCGCAGGTGAAAAAAACATCCCGATCTGACAATGAAAATGTGGTGAAAAAACCGTGCATGTCTCAACAGCGAAGAATGTTTTTTTTTGTTGATCTTGGTATATCTTGGTCCACAGTTTTCGTAGGCATAAATTGGGATTTTCTGAAAACCCCAAAAATCGCCGTGGCAAAACTGATTCCCCCCATCCGAAAATTACCATCGAATGGTCCTTAAATCCAACGGCTTGCCCGGTAACCGGATATCTAACCGGTTGGTCTACTACCCGCGTATCCGTTGGGTTTTTTGACCAACAAGTCAGTGACTACCCTCTGGTAAACTAACATAGCTATGGAAAATCACCATTTTTAATGGGAAAATCCACTATAAATGGTGATTTTCCATAGCTATGTTAGTTTACCAGAGGGTAACAATCTTTGCCAAGAAATGTTTGTAGCCGTCTAGCCATATACAAGGCTTGATCTTAGATATCCAAGAATGTGACTTTTTGCATGGGTCAAGAAAAACCGCCGTCAAGACAGTCACCAAATAGCCTCAGGTTGACCCAGATTTGACTGGCGAAATTCGGCGTACCCGTTTTTGGTGTCTTTCAATCCGTAGTTTGGATCATTTGGGTTGATAAATGAGGATGAATTGCTCTTCACTAGTCGGTTCAGCCAATTACTTCGATTCCATGGAGTATCACGGGGTCAGAACTATGACCTACAAACCAATGATCTCTGTTCACAAACACCTGCTATCCGTAATATCCCATTCCGCACAGTCCCCACTGCGTCCCATCTTCAATGTATTTTTTTCAGATATGTCATAGTTTTTACTTCAACCACGGTTGTCTGGCGATTTTTTCTGTACACTCAAAAATTTTACCAAAAAGATGAAGATCTATGAGTGTTTGTGCTTGATCTGAAAGTTTAACAGTGAATCAATTGGATTGGTCTAAAAAAATCAGACTGCCCATCCTCACAAGAAATCACTGGAGGATATTTGGACGATATCATATCCCAAAATCATATGTATAATTATATGTACATGTATATATATATATTCCATGTTATAAATACCCATGGTATCTTGATTAAATCCCCACGCAATCCCCCATTTTTCGGAATTTTCCCATCTCCTCCACCAGGGCCTGGAGTAGTTGGCCCAACTCCCGCTGCAACATCTGCGGCAGCCCAGGCACCCGCTGCTGGGCATCGGCCACACTGCGGGGACGCTGCTCCGCCAAGGACCGTAGCAAGGGGTTGGAGATGATGCTTTCGCCTTGGTGAGAATCCTCGCGATTATAGTGGGATTATACTATGTAATAATGTCTTATATATCATGGGGAATATATATATATACATTACTTATGTGTGTATGTTGTTTATCTATTTATATATTTATTTATGTATCTATTTATTTCTTTATCTATTTATCCATCTATCTATTTATCTATTTACGTTCAATCTATGTAATTTTGGGTTACAATGAGGATGTGTTATTTTTCTATAGCTATGTTTAACTATCAACAAATACTGATTTAATGGGATGATATATATATATATATTTATATACATATATATATACATATATATATATGGATACAAGATATATGTATACGTATATATATATATAATGGAAATATCGTGGGATAATCAATAACTGCTAGCTAGAAAATCCCCGAAGAAAATTTAGAGGTTTTACTCGGAAAATCATCCATGAATTGTCCATTGCCATGGTTGATTTCCGGAGGGTGTACTATGTAATAATGGTTTAGAATGGGGGATATATGATATATACATATGTTTGGTGGTCAATGGTGGATATGGTGGGATATAATGGCGAAACCCATGTTTTCAAAATGGGGAGGCCAAAAAAATTGTAGAAGGGACCAAATATGCAGTGTTGATTTCCAATATAAGGATACAATCAGATGTGTTTGCTCCAAAAAATGGGAGATTCAATCTAACGTTATCAAATGCTCTCACCTTGGGAATAATTGTTGTTTGTTGGGGAAAGTGGGAGAATCTCTCAGCAAAATGTGCGGAAGAATGCTTTTCGGGTAAGATTTTTGAATAAAGTCTTTGTTGAGGATTTATCTAGAAATCATTGGAGGTTTAACTCGAGTTAAGCTGCAGAAAATGAACTTCACCTTTGCGAAAATGTGTGTTTTGAGATCAAAAACCTTGAGACGTAAATTCCCACTTTAACAAACGGTAGGAGCCTACTAAGTCAGCATCTGGATTATGACATCTTCATCTTTCGCGGGTTCATCTTCCCTTTTCTCAAATTGTGAGTAGTCCAGTCCTGGGTGTGTCGCAAAAATTGCATACCCTAAACGATTGGTTTCCCCTCAATTACGACCAACTTTGGATTATTTTGAAGCGGGGCCAGTTTAGGTCCACCGACATTCTCATTTCAAAATTCAAGGCTTCCACATTTGATTTCAAGGTAGATTGAGGTACAATAAGGCCCTACCAATCATCGTCCATGAGGTCGCTAGAATCTGCGCAATTCCAGCGATCTGGATACTAGGAAAAATAAAGGCATATTACCCTCTGGTAAACTAACAGTTTGCGAACTGGAAAATCACTATTTTTAATGGGTAAAACCACTATTTTGATGGCCATGTTCAATAGCAAACTGTTAGTTTACCAGAGGCTAATCAAGAGGTAAAGTCAACCATGTTTCCACCGTGTGCCATTTTTAGTACGCCTGAAAACTAATCCTAGAAAAACCAAAAGATAGATCATCGGTGGATTTGTTGCAAACAAAATCATCTACTCGGCTTCACCTCCACAAAAATAACCCAATTTCATCGGAAAAAAAAGACGTCGAAATGATGATGAACCACAAAAAGAATGCCGTGTCTTCCAAATCTTGGCCTGATCTACCAGATTCTACCATCTAGTAACTTATGCGATGAAATATTGGATATAGATACGGATAATAAAAACTAAGTCTAAATCCCAAGTGGCCCATGATGTTCAACCGTCGCATCCACTGCTGTCGCACATGCGACAGCCGCCGGTAGAGCAGCTGCACCTTTTCCTCCAGCGCCGACGCCGTCGGCGCCGCAGAGCAGAGGACCCCGGAGGAACGGACCACGGTGACGGAGGGTGACGGCGCCGGAGCCTGTGGCATGGCGTGAAAAAGGTGGTGCGTTGTCTGAACAAATGGGGGATGATATCAATGATTATTGGTGTAGATGATTTTGCTAGTTAACATTTAAAAAAATGGTAATATATATATATCAGATTATCTACATCTGTGAATATCTACACAGTGATTTTATGTGATATTATAGATAGAGATGATTGTCGATTGTCGATACCCGGCCCAATTCGGAGAGATGCTGATGTCAGGCCGATGTGTCGCTTCCCTCGCCACCATGTGAAGTCCACTTGCTTCATGTCGTTGGCTATCCAAAAGGACTTTTGAAACTGCCAATTTCACCCAAATCACAGTGAGATCTGTTGGTGATGCACCTACAAACAGAGTTACTGCTGCTTTCAGGAAACATATGATAAATACATTATAAATATTTATAAATACCAATTTCACTTTGAAGTAAAGATTCTCCCTAGGGAAGTGGCTTGAAAAGATGACATCTTGAAGACTGGCCATGTTTTTTCACTCAACCTATATACCACTAGGAGGAGCTTCATTCGTGTTGATTCCACCAAAATTTGTTGGGCCTCGAGGCTGGGAACCAGCCATCCGAAGCTTTCAGCTTTTACCAGCCGTCCGGGTCAGGTTTCGGGGCAGGTTGATTCCACCGGAAAATGACGTTTCAAGACTTCTCCGCCCTTCAGTGAAGATGTCCATATTTTCCCATGGAAAAAACGTCGGAAAAGGACGACTTAGTGCAGATTTCCCAAGATGATTTGCCGACTATTTCCCAAGATGTTCATTCAACAAGCATTCAGATATCTGTCCAATGAACGGTCATTCTCCGATAGCTGATTTTTGGCTACCCTCTGGAAACAAACATTGCGATGTTGGATTGCCGGTGAACAATGAGGCTTTGTTCCGAGTTTGATACAGTTTGATGATGATTCATATACTTTTTCCCCATGATCAAGTATCAAGTGCTGAAATGTTCCATCTTTGACCCGTATCATATTGATTATTGGCTTGCATGCCATAGCATGGCGGTAAACCCGATCGTTAATCGAGTGAAATAATCTGACTTAGCTATCATAAATCAACTATAAATGACTATCAATATCTATCAATACAAAATTGTCGTTGATGAAATCCCCATTTTTGCTGCGAAACCTATCGCAAATGGGGGGCCACCTTAAGCCACCAATAAACCCATTGGGCCACCAATCGCCACCTTATCGACGTTCAAATCCTCTGGCACCGGGCACATGAGAAAGCTTCCGCATCGCGTCTGCAGCATGGTGTGTCCAGCCTACGATGCCAGCCAAACAGGCTTGGTGCTTCAGCATTTTCAGAACTTACATCTCATTTACTTGTTTCTTAACGCATGTACTGCGTATACATACATGTACGTCAGCAGAAATGTGATACATCTGTGCATCTACATGTATGTATATATATATATATGCATGCATGCTGCATACATATTCATTTACTTGATTTACATACATACATCATAAATATAAAGATTACAGTATAAAGCTTCAAAAGTGAATCACTCTATGTAAATTCTTGGGAGACTTTCCGATATTTTAAGGGCGGGATCGAGACCCGGGATCTCAGTCAGGTCAGCCACCAACAAAAACCCTCAGACTTCCCATCTTCAGAGGGTGTCTGAAAAAAAAAAAAACGATGTTGCTTCATATGATTCATATTCTATCACAATTCTCCCATAGGAATATATCCAAAAACCAACCAAAATGTACTATTGCCATATGAAAAAAAATGTATTGATATTGACCATTCTCATTTGCTTTTTGGTTAATGTCAATACCTTGGTATGTTCACGAATCCGCGAATCCATCTTGATCATGTCATAAATATCTGTCATCCAGTCATGGATGACCATGACTTGGTATAGGTTACCATGAGAAACCCTCCAAATCTCGGATGCTGATTTTCTCCGGCCTCAGATAGGGAGATGGCAGCATAGCTGAAACCACTTGCCAGCCTGAAGAACCCTGGATGATTTCTCGCAAGTTCTCAGGCATGGCTTGCATCAATTTGCAGCGTTTCTGCTGTTTCACCACTTCACCAACAAAACCAAGAGGGTGTTTCACCAGCAAAAAAACCTGGGCTTTAAACATGTTTCAACGGTTTCACCAATGAACAATCTGGTTGAACCACTTCAAAGTTTTCAGCGGGACCACGTTTTTATTTCATCAACTTCTGAGGATCAACAGAGAGTACCCGATACCCTCTGGTCCATAGGAATAGTTGATTTACCCAGCTATAAAATGGTGGATCTTTCCATAGTTTTGTAAACGTTTACTTTTATAGTTGATTTATCCAGCTATTAGCTGTGGTGGTGATTTTCCATAGGTATGTTAGTTTAGTTTACCAGAGGCTATAATTTATAGCAATTTTAAGAAAGAACATGAAAAACCCGTTGGAATTTGAGGTGATCTATTCCCATGGCCACTCCCATGGCTATGGGTCGAGCCATCGCGGTGTAAATGTTCGTCTGAAAATTGGCTACGTCAAAATACCGTTGTTGATCATCAATCATCATGTTCACCATTATCAATGGATTGGTTTAAGGGAAAAAATTACCGGTAACACCCATATTTCATACGAAGATCTATGGTTTCCTGTAGATTGTCCCTGAAGCCAATCCATTAACATTAAAATAGTCATAATCTGAGGTCTGACCATTTTATGAACAACCCAAATATAATATATATATAGTCCCTTTTGGAGGAAAAACAAACCCTGGCCACTGGCCATGGCACATACATGTACTAATGTACTGTGTAAATTATATACATAGGTATATGTACGCATATACATCTAATGTGTATATGTATATATTATAAATATAATATGTATATATAATCATATATATATTATATATCATATATATATATGCATATATTATGAGATATACGAGTGTGTGCGCGTGTGCGCGTTTGTGTGTGTGTGTCCCTATACATCCCACATCCGTCACAATCTCCCCACCATCTTTTGGAAACACCATATGTTTTTGGTCTTTCTCATGGCCTCATGGCTATGTAAGGGGATATACCTCCAATTTATGGTCTTATATGGCATGGTACCTCCAATGTAGGTTCCTCAAATACCATTGACAACTATTCGCAGGTGGGTCTCGCACCCATCGCCTCGCAGGTTTCTCTTGAAGTAAGCCTCTCTGCAGCACATGCGGCAGAAACGCCTGCGGCGAATTTCGGGCGAAAATTTTCAGCAAACGTAAAGTAAGTGGGTCCAGTTTAATCCCCAATAAACCAGGTAGGTTCATAATCTCTACAGGTTATAGCAATGGGCCCCTTATCCATTTATATACCCAATTAGATCATTCTGAATATCTAAGCGGTTTGATGAAGTCTCCATTTATCCACCTTTATCCACTCGGATGCTGTTGTTTTTCACCCACTGAAAGCACCAAAATCCCTGTCTGATGGTCCCTTCAATCTGCGCGCCTTCCACCAGCTATGTGACTTGGCTCCGCCACTGCCGAAAGCCCGATGCTGATGCAGTTTCTTGGACCTTAAGGCGCTGAAAATTTCGGGGACCCCTGAAAATCTGAGGAAAAAAACCGAGTTCCCCCGTTAAAATGGGTTTGTTTTTGAGGTAGCCCTATTTTCAGACCCATCCAATCATGATTAAGTATTTGATGTATTCATCGTGAAGTGCTCCAATAACGGATTCGTTGTCCAAATGAGTAGGGGGAGGATTGCTTTTGCTAACAAAGGTTGGGAATTGAAACCAGAATTCAATTGCGGATTTCACCTGCAAAAGTGGGTCACCATGAATGTTAAAGCATATGAAGATGGCAAACCTTAACATACGGGTGTGAAATCAATAAAGATCGCCATGCAACCTATCCATCAAACTGGATTGTTTGAAACAGGGCCATAAACCTGAGGAAAATAACATGTTCCCGTATGAACAGTGTTCAAAACTCTCTTTCATCCCTTCACACTGCCTGGTTTTTCTCGGTTTTTCTCGGGATTCCCAGTTCATTGATTGTGATAATCCATGATAATCCCCTGGTAAACTAACATAGCTATTGAACATGGCCATAGAAATAGTGAGCTTTCCCATTAAAAATGGTGATTCTCCATGGTCAAGTAAACGTTTACCAGAGGGTAACCATCATGTTTCCCATTCAATGGCCATTGAATGGGGGTACCAGTTTCAGACAAACCAAACATCATTTACAAACTAATGGCTATATACCCATCTGATGGTTAAAAACTCTCGTTAATAATTGGTGGTTAAACCCCGTTAAAAAATCCTCGAACTAATCATCAACCAGCAGCAGGTTGGGAACAATGACCCAAAACCATACTAAGTGGGCTAGATATATATATATATACACATATGTATATATATATATATACACATGCCGTTCTTTCCCACAAAATATTCCCCTATACCCCCCATAAAGTCGGGAAAAAACAACGTGTTTCCATATAGGCCATGGTGAAAACACAGTTTTTTGGGTGAAAACACGCATCTCAAAAAATGGAATCCAAACATGGCTAGAGAAATCCGTACAAAAATGGATTGATGACCAATCCCTAGGTCAATGGCCATTTCAGGAACCTAAATTGGAGGTACCTACCATATATTTTTGGCCTATTTTTCAGGCCGAAATTTCAGGAAATATCCCACAAATCATATGGCCAGAAATGTGGTACGTTTACGTACCTCCATAAATTGGATCCTGAAATTACCAATCCCTAGGGACAAAAAAACATGTCATGACCATGGCACCATGGCATACCATGGCGCCGAGACACCTCACCTGCTGGCTACTGTGCCCCGCGGCCACCTGCAGCGGCACACCACGCCCCGTGAAGCCGCCACAGGCGAAGACGCAGTCCAGTAGGATCAGACCTTGAAAAAAACTTGGAGAATGACTGGTTGGTGGTTGACCTACCCCTCTGAAAAATATAAAAGTCAAATGGGATTATTATTCCCAATATATGGAAAAATAAAAAATGGTTAATATTGGTAATACTGTTTCTCTATGGTTAATACTATGGTTAATATTGGTAATACTGTTAAATTCATGTACCATTGGATAGTACTATACATCTAAACATAAAATTCATGTTCCAAACCACCAACCAGATGAAGTTTCTTGGGGTGATTTTAGAGATAGTAGTCAGATTTGTATCACCCGCAAATCTTTTTGGAGATATGAAAAGATCTTTAGCATTTGTTGCATATTTGTTGGACCACCATCTTGTATAGATATGTATTTAAAGATATATCATATATCTATCATATTTTCATGGACCATATTTTTTCAATATAGATATGTATCAGATATCGTCTATAAATAGAAATAGAAGCTTCATGGATTTTTGATATTTTTGTAACCAACACGAATTACTTTCTTCGAGCGATCCCCACCTGGGCACACTATTCTGACATAGTTTCTGCATACAATCTGGAAGTACATACGGCAAATATATTCTGACATTCTATCTGACATGCTTTCTGGCATAAACTCTGACATTCCACCTGGCATATATTCTGACATACTTTCTGGCATTCTATTTGAGGCATCTATTCTGACATTCTGACATTATTTCTGACATTCTGTCTGACATAGGTTCTAACATTCTATCTGGCATTCTTTCCGGCATTCTATCTGAAATGTGTTCAGGTCCAGGCGTGCTCCACAGCATCCGGAGCTTGCAGGCGTGCCCGACTGCAACCGGAGCTGGCAGATGAGGACGAGGAGGAGGAGGAGGAGGCGGAAATCTAGAGACCCTCACCTGGCAGGTAGGGAATTGGGAGAATCAGATCAAAGCTCGATAATCGGAAATGCTGTCTGTGATTCCTGAGCTTGGGATGTTGTCTTTGGATCATCATAGGTTGTTCATGGGTTTAAAACGGATTCGCTAAAGCAACCCCAAAAAAACAACACATATTCCCTTAATCGATTTCCCAGTTGTAGTGGATTTCCCATTGGAAAAATAGAAATCATCTTCAATGTTCCATTGATTATATATATATATATCCATTCATAGATGTCCATTACTATCCCATAAATATCCCATGAATGATCCAATAGTTATCCAACTAAACCGACAAGGAACACTCTGCGGTAAAGTCCACCTCGCTGGCGACGCTGGGTTGCCTCCTGATGGCAGTGACATCGTACAGTGATGTCATGGGGATTCCGAGTGGTTCTTGATTGATTACCCTCTGGTAAATAAACATAGACCCTGGCAGTCATCGGGGTTGGAAGACTAGTTTCCATTAACAATTGGTGATTTTCAGGGTCTATGTTTAGTTACCAGAGGGTAATGATGGTTGATGATTACAGTAATATGGTGGTGAAAAAACGCGAATTTTTGGGTGACCTAAATCGGGGAACCTCGAAATCATCCGAAATGGTTGTTTCTTTCTTCCGAAAGCCACTGGTTTTGGGATATTTTGGCGGTACCTGAACTTTGAGAAACACACATTGGTGAGATGATAAAATGAGATTTCACTGGACTCCCACCTAGACACACCTAGAGCAGGATATCACAAGGTTTTTTTGAGATGTACAACATATACCTGGCAAAATCGTGATTCAAAAATCGGCTCATTGGTCTCTGATCCCATCCCCCTAAGAATAAACACCCCCAAGGAACCATGGTAAAAAAAAATAGAGGATTTACACCTCTAAGATAAGGAGGATGGGATTGACAAGGTTGCTCCCAACACCAGGGGTACAAGGTGGATCAATTGGATATATACACACACACACGTATTTACATATATGTATATGTACGTATATATATATATATATACGTACATATATATATATATACACACACACGTATTTACATATATGTATATGTACGTGTATATATATATACGTACATATTTATATATATACCTAGATGTAAATGACAAATATACTCGTCCGGCTATCATGTACAGTACCTAAAATTGCCATGTTGGAGCATACCCCATGTTTGGAGAAAGTGTAACCAACTCCTGGCCATCCCAAGCTATATGCCATCTCATCTATCATGTATAATTGATATATGACTATAACCATCTATAACCTATAGGTAGCGGTGGATAGATACGACTTCTTCATCAGAGAAAAGGCCTGTGCCGCACTGCTATAGACAGTGGGATTCTCGATGCTGGTGATGTTTCCCCCAGTCATATTTGATTTGGTGCTTCATGTGATCAAAGCAATTGGGTGGTCACACCAAATCCTTTCCAACACATTTCACCTCCAAATATCACTCAAAACATTGTCAAAGTTTGCGAGTTCGTACTCAACGCACGGTTGGTTTGAAATGGGAATATACCCTCTGGTTATTCAACATAGTGATGGAAAATCACCATGTTTAATAGGTAAACCATCTATTTCTATGGGCCATCTATACCATGGCTATGTTAGTCATAACCAGATGGTATAAGTCGTTGATGTCTGACGATGAAAATCCCAGGATGGCTTCACCATTGGATAGACCCCCATCTGGTTCAGTATGTGGTCCAGAAACGTTGGGACACCCTCATCTCTTCTGCTACTCCTTCAAGTTGATATAGTTAAACCGTTGTCAATACATAACAGAAATAATCATAAATATATGTTCACATTACACTACATGTTGCTTCGTAAATAATCACACCTACTGGCCATTTCTGAACCGGAAAGTTTCCGAACGGCGGATGGTCATCCTTTTAGCCCAGCCTCGGGTTGAGGCAAACGTCACACCAATGGCAGTTTGGCTCGCCTGTTTCACCGACCCTGCGAGCGGGATGGTTTTGGGGTCAAGGTGAGCTCTGCAAATTTCAATGAAAAATAGTCATCACGATCACCAATATAAAAAGACTTGAAGCAAAATAAGATCAAGTTTGTATCGATCATCATCATTATCACCACCACCATCACCACCACCACCACCATCATCATCATCATCATCATCATCGTCGTCATCGTCATCATCATCACCATCATCATCATCATCATAATAGTCATATTCATATTCATATTCGCCATCGCTATCACCATCACCACCATGATGATGATGATGATGATGATGATGATCAGCACGATTTTCATCCTGATAATAATCACGGTAATCATTATCATATCATTCTTAACTAGTGCTGTTATTTATCATTACCAGTATCAATATAGTATACATATTATTTTTCTCACCCGGGTCATTGTCATCATCAAATCATGATAGCAAGTACTATGATCCTCGATCTTGCCATGGGACACACGGGATGTGCACCCCTTGAACCCAGCCGAACGAAAGATCACGGCAAGAATCTGAACGAAAAAAACACCGTATCGATGGCATTCATCAATGTTCTACAAGGTGGTACCCCCCAGTTATAAGTTGGTTTATAGCCCCCATTAACTATAGATATAACCTCCACAAAGCCTAGTTATAGGATTTATAAACCAACTTGGCTAACTTTCGGGCAATATTTTTAGTGCTGATGAAAAATTATCCGAGAAGTACCTGCAAATCCACTGGCAGCTGAACAAACAGCTGTACTCGTGGCACACCCAAGAAGATATGGGAGTCGAAACCCACGTTGCTTGAAGAGCGGCAGGCAATCAGCTTCACTTTTCTGCTCGTGACTGAGTACAGAAACGGATTCCTTTAGCTCCAAATCCATGTGAGTCGTCTTAAGTAGTGAACCATCCAATTCAGACCCTGCAGACCCTTAGTTTCTTCCAGAAGGAGCTGGTTCATCCTAAGGTCTCACCATTGGCAAGTTGTAACTAGCAAAATACTACAAGCGCCTTGGGATGAGATGATACTATTGGGCATGGAGATGAATACCCTCTGGTTATGACTAACAGTTTGCCATGGAAAATCACCATGCTATTAATAGGTAAACCATCGATTTCGATTAGGGCCATCTATACCATGGCTATGTAACAAATAACCAGAGAGTAGTTCTTAGTTTAGGTCTCATCCTATGTTCATGTTCCATCATCTGAACTAAATAAGATAGTTTATCATGAGAAGTTTCATGTTTAACAGCAATTATACGATCCTATATAATAGTGGATCATAGTAATTATAGTTCCTCATCCTACTATAATTACTATGATACACTATAATAGTTACTATGCTGTTCACTTGGTTCATCCTATAACTATGATAACATACATATGGTTCATGTTCCATTTATAGTATCTCCATCTTCCTTTGTTGTTCCATCCTGGGGACCCCTCCCACCTGACACATTCGCCGCGTTCGCCCTTCGCCCACGGATCTCCGGCCGAGATCACCTTCGGCTGCTCGCCGAAATGGCGCAGGAAACCTGACGTAAAGAACGGAAGATGCAACAAATGACCGTGGGCCCATGGGATTTGAACGGAAAACATATGAAGAATGGATTATCAATGGCTAATGATGGTGAACGCTTTAATGATGATTAATGGAGAATTGATGATAAAACGTCGAATAAGTGGCTGATATAACCATGTTAAGAACTGGTGGTCGTCTGACACGTAATTGTGGCTACACAACTGGAGGTTATCTGAGAACTATAGTAAATAAGCTCTAGGGTTTCTCAAGTCATGGTGGTTCAATAATAAGTGGGTTATATTCACCACTGGTGTAGAGGTTATATTTTCCAACTTTTAGAGTTTAAATCCCATAGTTATACCCATAGTTGCGTGAGATATGGGGTTTTCTCACGTCATGGGGGGTCCCCAAGTCACCATAGGTCTGTATACTAAGTCATGGTCATCCATGACTTGGATGATTTGGGGGTAGCACCATTTTAGGAAACCTCCAAATGACGAGGTTAACCTTTTTGGATGTTTCTAAGGGGGCTAACTAACCATATAAAGATGTCAAAAACTAAGAACGTCAATTGACAATGAGATCAACCATTCATTGCCATGTACTGCCACTCATTGGGGCAATTATGACCTGTTTAAATTACCATGAATGAGGTTTTCACATGGTTTAGCCATCGAACACCAACCGCTTATACAGTAGGATGTGGTGTCAACATGTTTTACCACGTTTTAACCAATAGGGATAGTTCAGGAACATGAGCCTTGACATGCTAAAACCACAGAAAGGGAATTTTACGAACAAAGACTTGTTTTCAAACATATTTTCACTAGCTAGGCTTGAAATTTCATACAAAAGTGCAACTTGTAAAATTGCCTTTTTCGGAGGGAAAATCCCCCGTGGTTCAGTCACCTGTGTGTCTTTTCCATTGTGGAACTGAGCAAGAGACCCACCCGTCGACATTGACTGGAGTCTGCCAAGTAGGCGTTCAATTCGTTGTTCAACTCCAGCTGCCTCGAAAAACCGCGCCCAAAATCTGCCGGGACTTGGAGGATCATCCCACGAAAATGTAGCTGGCTCAAAACCTTGCTGTCCAGGAAGTCCCCAAAGTTGGGTATGCTATGAACGGGTTATAGAACTATGGTTACTGAATGTTGCTAACCAGTTGCGATCCGTGGGGTGTTCCTCCAAGTATGAGCATCAGCTAGTGGAAAAAAATCACTCCTTGCGGATGTACAGTGTTGGCCAAATATGATACCCCTATACCCCTATGGACATTACAAAACGGGGAACATGATGTGATAGTCGCTTTGAATTGGAGGTACCCAATTTTCAGACAAACCTAGGCAGTTCGAGTAGTGGTGTTTAACAAGATTCATCGATGCCGTACCCGAAATCTCCCCCAAGACTCACATCCAATCATCACTTTCTCGACAAAGTAAGCCCGTCTCAAAAAGAGAGTTATATATATATACATGTGTATAAAAATACACACACACATGCATGCATGCATGGATGGATGGATGGATGGATGGATGGATGGATGGATGTATGTATGTATGTATGTATCTATATATATATATATATGGTGTGTATGTATATATGTGTGTGGGTGGTGTGGGTGTGAGTGTGCGTGTGGGTGTGGGTGGGGGTCTGGGTGTGGGTTTGTGTGTGATTGTATGTGTGATTGTGTGTGATTGTGTGATTTTGTCTGATTGTGTGATTGTGTGATTGTGTGTGTGTATAAAACCGCCGACCACGCCTGCAGCAGGGGGAGCGCGTCAGAGCAGAAATTATCAGCATCAAGGGGCAAGGAGACATGACAAGCAGCAAGGAGCAAGAGCAAGAAGCAAGAAGGCCAATTAGTATACAGCAGTGCGGTGCAAGGACAAAAAAGGCAAGCGACGGAAGAGGAAGGCAGGTTGCAAGAGGGACGCAAAAAGCTGGTTTCTAGCCAGTTTAGAAAGCAACAATTGGCAGTATGGGCTGCTGGCCGCGGGCCCGATCCGTCCTTCAGTGCCATGGTGTTTTGGCCCTGCGACAGGGTCCTTTTACCAGACCAATGCAAGAAAGCAAGCTGCAAGAGCGAGCAAGCAAGCTGCAAGCTAGCAGTTGGTCAGATTTACTTAGGATGAATCACCCACACTTAAGCTTGTCCTGCCATGGAGTTCACCCCTCACTTTCTGGACCCTCTAAAAACATACAACCTCACGCGGGTCCCAACTTCAACTTCCAGTTTTAGGGCATGCGTGTGGTGACATTTAAAACCAAGGTGCTAACCTGCTAACCTTGCACTCACATCGCGGCTCAAAGGCATCACGAAGCCTCACAGAAACAGCAAAACGTTTCTGGCACACAAGTGGCTGGAGTTAGCATCTACTGGCACCACGGTCGAAAACACATCAACTTGCAAATTCTCATGTAGTTGCATCCCGGTCTCGGTATTCTATTATAATAACAAGGTCTGTTGAAGATTCTTTCATATCATCAACCTGAAAATGATGGGTTTCTCATCGGCCCGCTAGGACAAAAATGCAACACAAATGCGGCTTGACTTTGCCATTAGCACAAGCAATTTGCAACACAGCTTGCATGGAAGGACTGTGCTGGGTTCGCGCCAATATTTGATTTCTGCCTTGACTGATCCGATCTCATATATCTCCAGCAATGGTTTTTCTGGCACCAACCCGCACCGTTTAAATTACAAGCAAAGCTCTTTGTACGCCATCCGGTTTTCACCACGCAAAGCATCACGCCAAAACTTTATCCCAAAGCTTCCAGGGAAAAATAGGCCCACAGAGAACTTGTCTCCTTCATGCTACTCATCAAGTCTGACGTTTTCGAAGACAATTTTCATCTGTTGAAGGGAAACTTGGCAATTTTCTGGGGTTTCAGCACCTTGCCAGGACTTGGTTCCGGCCGCGGTGATGCACTTGTAGGCAGCACGGGCGCCGGCATTGGCCTATAGCACGGGCGGTGTCTCTTCTTCTTGCGCTTGGGAGACGCATCTTCAGCACTGGAGCCATCTGCATCCTTCATGTCACTCCTTGGGTTCTGAGGCAACTTGGTTTTCAACTGCAGAAGCCCCAGCCCCAGCCGCACCAGTATTGAATAGTGGTGGCTGCAATGTCCTCTTCTGGCAAAGTAGTAGCAGGAACACGAAGTCCACTCGCGCTTGTGCACCACAACAGCAGTACTCAGCCATGACTCACGCAGTTTTTTCCGTACCACCTTCACGGGAGTCAATTCGCTGCCCGTCCCTTGCAGAATTCTATCTCCTGGAGACACATGGTCGCGTCAGCGTTTGCGGCTTGCAATTGGAGGAGCATCTGGCACACCAGTTCCTGATCCAGCGGCTCCGGGTTCCAATCAACAGGAAGCAGCACACTGTTGCCCCTGCACGGCGCTCACAGATGTGGTTGTCACTCAGAATTCGATCGATTGTGGGCAAAGACATTGCTCCAATTCCTGGCTGATGATGCGTCCACAATCGTCCACAATCCTTCCGGCAGCATCCATCCATCTGGGCCCAAAGGGCGAGACCCAATCTGATCTGGTGGGGCGAGTAGGCTGTAGTCGTCCTCACAGCCATTGCTGGGAGATATCCAGAGTTTGATGGAGTCTTTGATGCTCTCCACAATCTACCAGGGGCAACATCGTCTAGACAATGGCAGATTACTCACGTGCGGTTCTCCATGACATCGCAACATCCTAAAACATATGGTATCTCGAACCTCTTATCTGTTCCCAAAAACACATCAATGGACGGCCAGGAAAGAACTTATCCTTGGTTCTGGAAAGCCTTGGGCGAAATCGATCGCAATACAATATACAACTTCCATAGCGGCTTAAGTGCCATACAACTTAAGTGCTGTCCCACGCAATACAACTTAAGTGCTTTAGACATATCTGCGTCGAAGCTAAACGGATACTTTTGTCACGATGACTTCACAAAGCATTACGTTCAAATTTTCTCTTTATTTACATGTTTGCAAGTTATCTAAACATGAATCTCAACATGAATCTCAACATGAATAATGTTGGGTCCTGATTAGTGTGGGGGTACACTATTGTGTCCACAGACCCAAAATAACTGTGAACCTTTGGAAATCATGGAGTGGTACACTATTGTGTCCACAGGATTCTGGGGTAAGTTTTTCATTTTTTATTTTTGAATTGTTTTAAATTATGTTTTATTTTTTGATTAATTGAATTCAATTTTTGAAATTTTAATTCATTTTTTAGATTATATTAAAAAAACATTTTATGTTGTTGGTTGTTTGGCTTTGTTTTTGGCATTGTTTATTTTAAAAAAATATTTTGTTGTTTAAAAATCTGAAAATCTTCTATAATTATATAATTATATTGATCCTAAATAATGTGTGTTTGTTGTGAGGAGGGGTCCACTATTGTGTCCAGCTGCTTTCCTGGGGTGAGTTTTTTTTCAAACATTCCCTTTTCTTTTCCTTTGCTAAAGAATTTCTTGTACTTTCTTATTTTTCTTCACGTGACCACTTGAAATTTCGAAATTTCCTTTCACTTGAAATTACACTCTGATCCACAATAGTATGTTTGTTTGGCGGGTTCGCTATTGTGTCCAGCTGCTTCCTGAGGTGATTTGTTTTTTCAAACATTCCCTTTACCTTTTCCTTTGCTAAAGTTTTTTCTTTTAATTAATTACTTTCTTAGCTTCTTTCACTCAAAATTCTCAGAAATGCCCAATTTCCCAAAATATATGATCATCCAAACAATTTTTCTAGGGGGTAGTCCATGAGCAAAATAGTATGTTTGTTTGGGGGGTTCACTATTGTGTCCAGCTGCTTCCTGAGGCGTTTTTTCAAACATTCCCTTTACCTTTTCCTTTGCTAAAGTTTTTTTCTTTTATGGTATTTCTATGGTATTACTATTGGATTTCTATGGAATTCCTATGGGGTTTCCATGCTGTTTCTATGATATTTCTGGAGGATTTCTAAGGGATTTCTGAAGGGATGCTATGGGAGTTCTATGGTATTCTTATGGGATTTCCTTTGGATTCCTATGGTATTTCTATGATGTTTCTATGATATTTCTTTGGGGGTTCTATTGGATTCCTGTGGAATTTCTATTGGATTCCTGTGGAATTTCTATTGGATTCCTGTGGGATTTCCAAGGTATTTCCATGATGTTTCTATGATATTTCTATGGGATTACTATGGGAATTCTTATGGGATTTCTTTGTGGTTCCTATGCTATTTCCATGTTATATCTATGATCTGTCTATGAGATTTCTGTGGGATTCCTATGGGATTTCCATGATATTTCTATGATCTTTCTATTGGATTACTATGGGATGTCAATTGAAACTAAGTTGAAATCAATTGAAAGTAAATTGAAATCAATTGAAAATTAATTGAACGTCAACTGAAATCAATTTGAAGTAAATTGAAATCAATTGAAACCAATTCAAAGTAAATTGAAATCAATTGAAATCAATTGATAGTAAATTGAAAGGAATTGAAATCAATTGGAAGTAAATTGAAAGTAAATTGAAATCAATTGAAAGTAAATTGAAATCAATTCGAAGTAAATTGAAATCAGTTGAAAATAAATTGAAATCAATTCAAAGTAA